CGAAATGAGGCAAATAACAAGGGACAGGGTGATTATGTCAAAATGAGGGAAGTAAGTAGGGACAGGATGATTAAGTTATATACTACTGGTTTCAATTGCGTCAGTCTGAGCATTTCCTTAACTGGGTTTCAATAACCGGAAATAATATGATAAACTTATTTAGCGAATAAACGTTTGAGTAAATGTAAAGTGTATGTAGTGAATAAATGGTTGTGATGAGGTCATATGTCTTTTCTGTCATTCTTTTGTCTGCATCATAAGTGGTACCGATTTTTCTGCTATGTTACCTAAATGGGGGGGGGGGTTGAGAAATTAGATGACAAGCAAATTTGAAAGATGTACTTAAAACGAAATTAGATGTTTTGCAAAACTGCATTGTGAGAAAATAGACGAAAGTGAGAGAGATTAAAAATGTTTAGAGACAAATTGCGTTAGAAAAATTAAATTGTTTGCAAGCAACAGTTTAATTTCGGTGGCCAAAAATTTTACATATCAATCATGCATACTTTATTCAATTCAAAACTCTCCTGTAACTTTCAGTTTTGACATTTATGTTTAATTAATCTAATTTTTTTGATAGATTTTGTCATTTTATATTCATTTCCAGCATCGAAGTTTCTCGGATAAAAGTAGATTATATTGAGAAAGTTTCGCCGAAAATGTTGCCATTAAAATTGATTATGTGTAACCAATTTCAGCAACATTTTCTGGCATTTTAATTCCACTAAAATCGCAACAAAAACTCTTGCTATCGCCAAGAAGTTGCAAAAAAATCTGGGACCCAAAAAATCGATAATGTTGTCAAAAAAATTGGATTATATTGTCTGAAAATTGATTTTTCTCTTCTTAAAAGGATGCTATTTGAAAAATCAAAACAAAAGTTGAATTTAAACGACAAAAATCATGAACATAAACAAGATTTTGGGCACAAAAATATGCAACAAAAGTTTAGAAAAATATCATTGTAATTCAGATTTTGGGCAAAAACATATGAAAAAAATGAAGAAATGGGTAATATAAATCACATTTTGAGCTTAAAATCATGCAACAAAATAAATAGAAAATCATTGTAAATCCGATTTTGTGCAAAAACCTATATGACAAATGAAGAAATGGGTCAATATAAACCACATTTTAACGTCTATTTTTCTAGGCCCCTTAGTGGGCAACGAACGAACTACACCCACACCACGGTTCCCGCACTCAGTAAAAAGAGAAAATAATACATTACTATGGATTTTTATTGTCAGTCTTCATAAATTTTAATAAAACTTGACTGTAATCCATTAAAAATGGATTAGCATGTTAATATTTTCGAAACAATAAAAACCAAAATGAACGATTATAATCAATTGTAGTCGATTATTTTTTGAAATTTTCTATAAATTTTTTTTTGAATTATAATCCATTATAATAAAATATGATTCCATATTTTTTACTAAACGTTATCGTTTCGTTTTTTTGTTTTGTTTTGTGTGCTTTGAGAAGCAGTGATTCCTTTACCTTGATCCTTGTGAAGAGCTCTTTGACCGATTGACACGACAAAATTGTCCCAAATGAAAGAGAAAAAACTCGGCCATCAGTCCTAAAACATTTTTTCTTCGGACTTTTCAAACCAATTATACAACAATGATATACACCAAACGGCAAATTATAGAGGAGACACTTTCTCGCTTAGGGTAAACTAGTGAACAAATTATAATTGAGCTCCATGGTCAAAATTTATCTTCGTCTCAACTTTAAGTTTGGACAAACACTAGCAAGCAATACTAGCCCTGCTGAAATGATTTGCTAGTGTACTGATTAGACTTTCTGATATCATGCTTAATTGAACTGCTGAAAAATGTAAAGGCTGAGTACGAGAGCCTTGTTGTTCCGACTTTTGATACGAAAGTAACGGAATATTTGTGCTCGGGGTGGGTTTTTTTTCTTCAGACAAATTTCGACTTTTTAACTAGCCGTTTTTGACGGAATTTTATATCATTCGAAAGGCATTGTTGTCCTGAGCGCAAATTTGAAAAGATATTTCACCTGTGATCATTTTTCGTGAAGTTACGGGGGTTTAAAAATTGCCATTTGAGAGTTAATCCGTCTGAGAAATTGTTCCAAATTGATTGAAAGAAGCTTATTCGCCATAATTGATTAGTTTTAAGGAGCGACATTTTTCCTTTTGTACTTTATATGGCGTGTGGGGGATGATTTTCACAGAAAATTTCAAATTTTTGGAAAAAAATTTCATTTTGTTTTATTGCATTTAATTTTTTAATGGTATTACTGCTCCATAAACCTTAAAATGCAGTCGAAACATTCAGGGCTTCGCCCTGATACGAGCAGTCTTGTTTCCCTTTTGCTTCAAATTGAACATTAGAACTTTTTGGAGCGTGTGAATGACTTGGATAAGCTGAGCCATTTTTTCACAATAGTTTCAACCCGACTTTTGTACAGAACATTTTTATATTAGTATCATTAGTATTTTGCATGCATGGCAATACGCACATCGAAAAAATTTTAACACATGCTTCATATTCAGCCCGAACCGAGCGCCTATGGATCATAATCCAACATATTTCATAATATGGTCAGTAACTGTAAAATGACAAAAAAAATCAATCATAATCCATTAAAAATGGATTATAAACCTACTATTTTTTGATGTCAATATAATCCATTACAATCGATTATAATCCATTAAAAGTGGTTCATGGTTCAAAATCCTAACTTTTTTTCCAATATATAATCCATTATAATCGATTATAATCATTTATCATGGTTTTTTTGAGAAGTTAATCATGAAATTTGCAAATTTTTTCCAAAATTATTCCTTTTCTTTTTTACTGCAGTTGCGACGTACTAAGTATTACCTTTCAAAAAATGTTACATTTCACATTAAAAATTTTTTTTTGTTTCTTCTTTTGCTATTCATCTCAGTTTACCGTTACCCTTGTGGGGGGTGTTAACTGTTGGGGGACGTGAACTAAGGGGGGAGGTGGTGTCAATTATTAACTTCTCCTCCCCCAAAGTCTACGAATCAAAAAACGATTTAAAAAAATTGAGGGGTGACGTTGAGGCCTTTAGTTTGCAAAAATAATCGATTTTAGCTCTCAAATTAAAATGAGTTATAATCGATTATAATGGAAAATAATGGTTTTTCATTTCAAAAATAATCGATTATAATGGATTATCTTCACAAAAGTAATCAATTTCCTTGCCAAAAAATGGCTTATAGTCGGTTATAATGGATTATAATGGATTTTTTTCTAAATAATCGATTATAGTAGCAATATAATCGATTTCTTGGTCTGAATTTTACATCTGTTATGGATTAAAATGGATTATGTTTGTCTCGGGAATCCATTCTAATCGATTACAATCCACGGGTGCACGGTGCGGACGCCTCGAAACCATCTGTATACAATAATTGATTATCTTCTATTTATTCACTGTCTGCGAATTTTTCAGTGTTCTTTTGTAACACAACGCATGCTGAAAAACAAAACATCAAATATGCGCTTGTTTTACCCGTACCGAACTTTTCTCACAACTTCACGTCTGATCAAACAATTTTCCGACATTAGCTGTTTTCCAGTTCTATACATATCTGTTTCACATGTGATCACATCTGCAAACATTGTCGTTTGCAGACTATACCTGGTCAGACATGATTATACCTGGGTCAGGCATGATTATACCTGGGCCAGACATGATTATACCTGGTTCGACATGACTATACCTGGTCAGGCATGACTGTACCTGATCAGACATGACTATACCTAGCCAGACATGACTATACTTGGTTAGACATGACGTATTTTTCTCTACAGAAAAAATATTTCTTTTCTTTTGTTCGATTTTATCCATTTCTATAAGACTTTTTTTTATAAATTCAAATTTTCGAAGAGAAGTTCAAGTTTTGTCACGTGTCTTGTTTTTAGAATACAAGAAACGTGACAAACAGGAAAACTTCATTGGGAAAAAAAATGATTGAACCTGCGTTTTTCCGTATCTAGATACCCCCACTAGATACGTAAAAACGCAAGTTCGATCAACTTTTTACCCAATGAAGTTTTCCTGTTTGTCACGTGTCTTGTATTTTGAAATCCAAAGATTTAAAAAAATTTCTATTAAAATCCAAAGATTTTAAAGAAAGTCTATTTAAAAAAATATTAGTAAAACTCTTGAGTTCCACAAGGATCAGTTTTTTAATGCAATGGGGGAAACTCAAAGTAAATCCATAGGGAATGATTCGCTTTTCTTTTTGGTGCTTGTTCAAATTTCTATCTAACATATGAAACTTTCTGAGGTTGTCTCTAATATTCTCTAAATTTATTTGCAAATACTTCATGAACATCCCATCACTGTTGTTTTTTATTGTTCATTTTTTTTTGTTGTTTATTGTTGAGTTTTGGCCTACGGAGTTTTTAAAAAGCTTTTTTGATCTAGGTCAGATCATGTATTATCAGGTATGATCATGTCTTTTCAGGCATGATCATGTCTGGTCCAGGTGTGATCAGGTCTAGTCCAGGTATGATCATGTAAAGTCAAGTATGATCATGTCTGGTCCAGGTATGATCATGTCTGATCCAGGTATGATCATGTAAAATCAGATCTGAAGCATACCTGGGCCAGACCTGATCATACCTGACTTTTCCCATGGTTATCATATCTGTACATGTCCGATTCAGACATGTACAGCGGAAAAAGAGACATGCCACAGGACTGATACAGATCAGAAATTTGCATGAATTTTCGATGTCCAGAATTGAATTTAGCTAAAATTTTCGGTACGGGTAGTACATTCTAAGCTTGATGAAATATGAAATCACAAGTTTTCTTGAATCTTGTAAAAATAACTCGGACAGCATCTTTAAATACTCTGAAATTAAAATCGAAATTAGAAAAATTGAAAATTAATGAAGCTCATTGTCCAAGTTGTCCCATCGGAAAAGAAATGCATAAATTTACAAACTTACCACATATATTTACCGCAGCTTTTTGTTTAGTGGATTTAAGATTCAAGTGAAGTTCATCCGATCTGTGATAACATACCTGAAGAACAGTTTTGATAGTGGAAACACCCAATCAGCAATTGTCGTATTCGCCACTAATCTAACAAGCACCACGCCCTATATGCAGGACTACTCCTCAATTACAGCATATATCGACAAAATGAGTCACAAATCAGGGAATACAAACTTAGTAGCGGGTTTGCGGGAAGCAAGACGCATAGTTTTAGTGGACCCCAATAGCAGGGAAAACGACAGATCTGTCAGGAAACTGGTCTTCTTCCTAACTGACGGTGCGGGCAACCAAGAGCATCATTTATATCCCAGTATGACAGCACAACTTAAAAATGTGGTAAGCTTGGATTAGTTTTAGAATTGAGGTAGAGAAGGTATAGAGAAGTTCCTAATCATTTTTTATTGTATTTCAAATTGACAAATAATTTGCACAAAACTGTTCTAGCTAAATTTGCAGCTTTTACAAAAAAGCCTTAAACTGATCAAAAAATTATGAGATTTCAGTTTTGGTCGAGTGGTTTTGGGATGATAGCAGTTTTGGTTGTGATTTTTTTTTAGGATTAGGATAAGTTATATAGTGTTTAAGACCGATGGCCTTGTGGTGTATTCGATTGGGATGACGTCGGGAGCAATCTACGATCAGCTACTTCTAGCGGCCACATCAGAGGATTATGTCCGACAATACAGTGACTTCAATCAGTTTAACAACGAAATACCAGCTATACTATATGATACATGTGAAATATCCGTGGACCCAATCAATGCTGAAGTAGCCGATATATTTGAGATGCTTAATCTTCAACTTGGCGAGGCGAGAGTTGTTCAGATAACCTACCCCATGACAGACACTGTGCTGTTGCTGGACTTCAAACCAGCAGCAAAGCTGAAAGGCAACGCAGAATTGGTCGTATATGTAAAGTGTGATGGTTCCAATCCTAGCACGGTTTTCCATGATTACACTCAAAAGATAACGTTCGAAAAAGATGGCACAGCTCCAGTACAACTAGCAACTGGCTTCTGCAAAAAAATCTGTAGGTTCCCAGGGCATTTTTTAAGCGGCGACCACAAACGCGATTATTGGTGAAACCTTCCTCTTTTTTTGGGGGTTTTGATATTGTTTAAAGAAACCGTGAACCTCAATTTGTTCAACTTTAAAAAGAACTATAACCAACTTTCAAGCTGAAAAAATTGACTAACGGCCGCCGGGTAGATCTGAAAAATCCTAGATCCGCGCCGACATTAGCATACACGTTTAGCTTGAAGGCGGCATTTTACAAATTTTTGAAAACATTTCGGTCAGTCGTTTTGAAAATGAGATTCATGTCGAGATTTTATTCAATCAGGCGCAGGCACGGATCTAGAGTATTGGAAGGAATGGGTGTTTAGGTTTTTTTTCTGTCCACCGAACTGATTTTTTATCTCTCTTAAACAATTTAAATAAGCTTCTGTTTGCTAAATTGTAAAATTTTGGAATTTCGTTAAGTAGTATCAAAGGAGGGTCAGGGTTTCCTCCCCCTTAAGCCACTGCGAATCAAGCCACAGGCAGGTAGTAGAAGAAAACTGCGTTAAAAAGTTTTTTTATGGGCAGCGTTGACCAATTTTCTGACTGCTCGACCAAAGGAGAACTGCTTTTCCTTTTTTTCACTATAGTTTGATTGATGCGTTTTAGCAATTCTTCTATAGTTCTCCTTTGGTCGAGCAGTCAGAAAATTGGTCAACGCTGCCCAATAAAGAAAAGTTTTAACGCAGTTTTCTTCTACTACAGCCATATATATGTTTGGAGGCTGTTCTTTTTATGTAATTGCTTTTTCAATTATACCGTTTCTTCTTCCAGTTACATACTGCCATCCACTCCATTTTTACTATATGATCGCAATTGGAGATACTAAACTCTTGCCGGCATCTTTCTAGCTTTTTATGTGTCCCATTTTATACATTTAACTATCTATTTGTCTGCGTTTTCTTCTGCGCAAGGGGGTACTCCTCAACCCTTTCATTAGACGTCTTTTAAAATTTTAAAACTTTTGTCCCATATTGTGTCTCAGTATTTCTATTCATCTGGAATCAATTAGGATATAACCTGCAAAAGTTAAGCTCTCATTTGTTTAGCTCTGGCTCCGTTGGTTCCAGTGTATTAGTTCTCACAGCCATCATCTTGCTTCTGTTGACCATTTCGAGTCCGAGATCTCGATTCAGTGCTTATTTCAAGATTGGTTTGAGATTTTCCGGCATAGCCGTTTTCCGACATAGCCGTCATAGTAGTTTAGTCACTAAACTCATCTAGCAGTGTTTTGAGTTGCACTTAGTGAACTTATTTTCCAGTGAAATTTTTCAAATGCCGCCCCGGCTTCTGTATATTTTCTGCAAACCAAATCTAGCTCCTGAATGTTTTCTATGTCTTCTTGGATTACAGCTTCCCTTTAACCTCACAAGCGTACAAAACTGGTGGTTTTGATAATAACCGTCAGTTTTCCGATTGGAAAATTGCTGCAATTGGTCTACAATCAGTAACGGATTTAGAGGAAGGGGGCGGACGTTCCTCTTCCTCAGGGATTCGACTCCCTGCCGACCCAAAGGGTCCCCCCTTTGTACTATTTTGAGATATCCAATTTTGGCTGACTGACCTCAAAATTTTTAAAGGCGCGTTTGGCGCCAATCTATAATAATTTTGAGGGGGAAGCGCGCGCCGGAAAAATGCGATTTTTTGGTCGAAGTTTTTCAAAAATTGCCTATAAAAACAATTTTTTTGGGCTTTTTACAATTAGCCTGCGGGGCAGACAATTTGATTGAATTAGGGTCTGTATAGTCATTTGGGAGAGCTCAAGAAAGTAATTTGGTCGACCTAAAAAACAAAAAAGGACCGAACTATCCACGCTTTCCACTAAACCAATGGTTCTGACGTCCTCTTGTTCGAGAATGTAGCAATTGTTATCTGACTTTCCTCTCAGTAGTGCTCCGCCGGCTGTGAAATAAAGTTTCTTGAAAAATGCATTAAGCAACCCGGAACCTAAGGCCTCGTGGCCCAAGTGATAACGGTTCGTGGAAACACAAACAACCCCATTACATTAAGTCCTATCAAAAATTGGTATCGATCTAGTGGTTGGAATGGAAACAAAATTTAATTTCAAATGTTGGACAACTAGTCGAAGCAAGCTTAAATTCACACTCCAGACCCCCTGTACTCCTACTTCTGGCGCCAAACAAAAGTTCCTTGTGCGGACTTGCGGAAGTCATTTCTCAGCCTTAATTGATCACAGGGAGCCGAAACTTAAGATATGACGTGATAGGTACCGATAGGTTTCATCATGTATTATATTTTGAGCAAAACCCAGCGGTTGGACCGGAAGTTCGTAGATTTGAAGAAAAACACCTCCTAGACCAAAATCGACAAACTACGCAAATTAGTAAGCCGGGTATAGACACAAGATATAAATTTTGAAAAAAAATTAAAATGCCAAAAAATTCCCAGGAAAAAGGATGCTGGAAGTGTTTAAGAAATGTGATAACTTGGGAAGTACTAATGTGAGGTGGATGAAACTTGAGGAAGGGCAGTTTTTGGATTCTCATTCCAAAAATGGAAGAAGGATCCAGAGTGACCTCGTGGTGGCCTTGGGATAACCTTTAAGCTTTTCACTGTTGAACACCATAGTAAACAACGAGGTTAACACCGGATTTCCGCGTATGCTCATCCCCAGCCCCTGAAAAAGGCAATCGGTACTCTTTTTTTATTTGGAAGGAAACTTATCGCTTTAGGAAAAGAAGCAAACGCTAGGAGTGCTGACTTTTTACATTGCAATGTTGAAATAGTGGACTGAATTTGGGTGGAACTAGGCAAATAATTGATTAAAATGATTTCAAGCAACTCAGCTATAAAATGCACTTCAATTAGACTAAAGAAAAATAGTCCCAAAAAAACTACCAGTAATAACATTGCGGTATGAGAATTAAGTCTCCTAACTAATGCACATGATTGGGAAGATTTCATAGCTCCCTGAAGGTGGTTTTTTGGCCTAATTAGACATCCCAATAGACAAAATACTTTTCTATTATAGTAGAAAGGTTCAGAATGCAATAGAAGATAGATAAGAAATTAGATGATTTGGATGAAATATCTAGGAATGAAAAACGCGTCCATTTTTTATCGGGAGGCCGGAACAATTGAAATGTAATTAAATAAGGTCTCTGGGACCTTGGTTAATCTAATCAAGTAAAAATTGATTTGAAAAATTTGATTTGATTTTGCATTGATTTGATCTTAATTATTGCAAAACTAAATTGGTTATAGATATAATGAGGCTATCATTTAGGGCTTAACTCAATTCAGTAAGGAGGACCGTGTTCGCCCGGTTTCAAAGTCAAAGTCAGGATTCGTAGGAACTATAAAAATCTAACTGTGACTAAAGGTCAAATAAAAAAACATAATAAAGAATAACAAAAAAGCCTAAACTTAGGAAGCGCAATCACTACTGAGCGAGAGTATAGCTGGTTGTCATCTATTAGAAAAAAATTTGCAAAGATAGCTAACGCTTGTTTTTCATATTTAAATGGGAAAAATTTTTTGCAGAGACAGTAGATAGTTGGTTCACAAAGTCAGCGAGATCGATTGAGCAATCTAGAGAAAATGATCGTTCTGTAAATGCGAAATTGTTGCTGAAAAAATGGCTAACTGGATCTCGGTAGGTTAGTAGTTAAGATAGTTAGGTTAAAGAGCGGAATGAGGTTTTTGGTGAACGAGTTTTCTTGATTTGAGTTCTCTACGGAGAACATCTTAGTGATTGAAATGCAATTTAGCCATTGCGTTGATGAATCGGGGACCCTTTCTTTTTAATTAGATGAATATATTATATTCTCTCAACCTCAGAGCCCTTTGTATCCGGATTTATAATTATCTGAAAATATATACCCATGGAAGTTTTTGTGATCACAAGCTCGAACGATACAGCCATAGAATTAGTGACGAAAAAAGCAAGTAATTTTTACAGAACAGATTAATTGTCAATAAGTTAATCCTTCCAAGATTTTTGATAGTATGGAATCTCGGTAGTCACGCTACAGCCGTTACGTAAGAGAGAGAATGGACATTTGCCCGATGATGATTTCAGTCTATATGGTTGGTTTTTCGATGAATGGTATTTTTTTTACCCCCAATAACAAACGTGAACGTGAATATGCAAGTGAGCAAAATGTATGCGCTTAATCAAGTAACAACGTGCATAGTTTGGCCAGAAAATTTTAAGAAGACAGATAGCATTTTAAACAGATTTCAACGGTCCTATAGAGCCTATTTAAACGCAGTAATGTGTAAAAATCAAATCTTTCCATTCGTTAGAACTGCGGAGTGTGGGCGCACTCCTCCATTGATCTCAAAATGAAAATGATCACCTACGCAATTGTAAAACCACCTGAAGATTGCGCAACAGCAGGAAAAAAAAACTTCATAACAGTGAATGAAGTTGGATACACTCTTGAACTGGATAAAAATGGATGAAATGCTACACAAAAATGAAAAAAGTCCTTGGACGGCAACAGTTTGACAGCATGTAAGAACAAAGAAGAAGTAAAACACTGCAGCTATGAAACGCATATGCAGTAGGTTGAGCTCAAAGTAAATCTAAAAACAAAACAACTACAAAACCCTACGGCATCCCACTAGCATGCACAATACTCAAAGTAGAAATGAACCTGAAATCTATCCACATTTTTCAGACTATTGACCCAATTTCAGTAACCACAGGAATAACGGAACAAATTCAAGAGGCCTTGCAAGAAAACCATCCAATCAATAACATCCTAGCGCCTTCCTATAAACTTACGTTTCAGAAAAAAAAATCAAAAGAAAACATTTTGACGCTAAATGTTGGTCGGTATTTCGGACCGAGATATTAGGTTATTGATGCATTATCCAGTTTCTTCCAATCATTTGCATACGAGAATAATAGCCGCAAATTTATCTGAATTAGGAACGAATACTACTAAAGTCACGCTGATTATACTGTGCACTCTGGAAACTAATAAAAAAATAGAGTAATATAATGTACATTACTAATTGAAAACAAAGGGATCTATCAATCGACCCCACTGTTTTTTTTAGTAAACTGTTGAACAAAAGTTGGGCAAAAATTTTCATTTCAATCTGGATCAACTTCGCCATCAAATTTAATTGTCAAACCGTTGAGAGATTTTTTTTTAAACGTATCTTGAAACTTTAAAACCAAATAGTTTCAGTAAGTTTTCCCAACCCCAAAACTGTGTGGAAAGAGAGTGCAAAAAAACTTACAGCTGCATTTTGAGCTCACGACTGTTTTTTTTAGATTGTTCAAAAAATCAAAATTAAGTGTCGAGCTCGAATCTCACAAGATACTTCTTATTTCGTCTTTTATCATAAGATCATGGAACTTCGAAAAATTTTGTATGAACGCTTAGCGTGAGTGGCGGCTAACTCAAATAAATTGAGCTATTTTAACCAACAAATTGCGCACACTAGACATGTTTTTTTGTTTTCTCACATTGCGCTAAACTTTTTAACCTCCTGGGTTGACCTCCATAGGACCAAAAAAGCTAATCATATAATTCCATAAACCAAGTCTAAGAAAAAACACTATTTGTACAAATTTCACTCATTTTGCTACAATAGTATCACAATATTTTCAATTTTTTTTTAATTTTTGCATAAAAGTCAGTGTCTCATATTTAAAAAAAAAGAATTTTTTTTAATCAAAAAAATTGCTAATCATAAAATTTCCATTTATAGAAATTGTATAACTGCTATTTTTTTGATGCGACAAAAAAAAAATTTCCGCGTAATTTTGACGTTGTCTCAGAGATTTTTTCATTTTTTTTACAACCGCAATCCGAACTTGTTTTCAAATGAACGTATTCTATTTTTTTTTGCGAGCAAACTTATATTATTTTGTATTCATAACGTAGTCTTGTTTACACATAAATTGGATTTTTGTTAGGTTTCTATGAATAATTTTTTCGAAAACGCTAAGCACTCCTTTTTACTTTGTATGCCATGATCATTAACTGAAAACTTAAAGTTGAAATCTTTTGAAATTTCGCCAAAATTTGAAAATTTGTTGCTTTTAGCATATGATTTTTGTAAGAAAGTTTTTTGCAACTTCGGCGGTCGGTTTCAATGCATTGGAGATGCAAGACGATCAAACATTCGGTGATTCTTGTTTTGAATAAACCGTGGTATTTGTCACTTGTGTTCGGTAACGAACACATCTCAAAAATTTTGATAAAATAAACTTAAAAAAAAAAGTCATTTTTTGTTTATGAAAAAATGCTAGTTATAAAATTTCCATGTAGAATAAATATTTTTCATGCAATTTTTTGTGCTTATGGAATTGCATGAAAAGGCTGTGAGTAGGATTTTTTTGCATATTTTTTCAAACATCATTTAGTATCAAATAGTAATCATCGTATTTTTCTTGGTTCACGTAAATTGTATGACCAGCTTTTTTAAAACACGGTCACGGTAGCTAGCCTATTTCCCCTTACACTTGAATAACAGGATGAAATTCACACCAGGGATTTAACACTGAATCTTCGACAATCGCTTTGTTTTTGTTTTGCCAGTTTCAAGCGTTAATAATCGATTATTTTACGATTTTAGTACCAGTTTTACTAAAATTGAGAAACAATCGATTTTAATCAATTAATTATCGATTATAATCTCTCTTTTTAAGATCAAATCTTAATGAACTATAATCCATTATAATCCATTATAATCGATTATAATCGATAATTTATTCGTCCCTCTTTCGATACAAATATAATCAATTTTAATTGATTATAAACCATTTTTTTCAAATTTTTAATTCATTAGATTATTATTGATTATAATTTTTTTGTTTGTGCATTTTGTCTTCAAAGTTACATTTAAATTGCTTATATTCAATGCTTTTTGTAGTCGTTGGTTCCTATGAAAATTGAGAAAATTGTTTTTGAAGTTTTCCAATCAATTGAAATTTAAAAGATTTTTTTTCATTTCTTCACCATTAGAGTTTTGTAATGCATATTTTCAGCTTTTTAACCACCAAAACATCAGCAAATTATTTTAATTTCATGATTGATCGGAAGATTTATTTTTCATCTACCGCGGGAATCTTTCAACTAAAATGAAAGGATCTCTATGAAACTTTTGTTTCGAGGTAAAACATTGTGATCACGTGAACCAAAGCGTTCAAGAGATCTCTCTTTTAGACATTTTATTATTGATACAAGAATAATAACCCATAAAACATAATTGGAATATAGTTTTGAATTGACAAAATTTTGGCAAAATAAGAGATTATAATCGATTACAATCGATTATAATTGATTCCAAGGGTTTTTTGTATGAACTACAATCAATTATAATTGATTATAACCGATCAAAATCTCTTGGAAAATATCACGATTATAATCTATTATAAAACCTTTAAACACCTAATTTTGGTAATTATAATCAATTATAATTGTCAAAAAGTCATCATAATAATCCGTTATAATCGATTATTTACGCCTATACTTGGATGCGGCTAAGCCTAACTTTATCTTTTTTTGAAAGCTCCGACCAATGGTGGAAAGCTCCGAAGATCTGCTGATGGCGGATCCAATGCGACGCTTGACTCTGGTTCTAACTACACCATTTCGAGGCGAAACTGTGCACTGGGTTGTGTCTGTATGTTCCTGTATTACAGAGACAAGTCTTTAAGCAAGTTAAGTTTGTATCGGAACGATCAGATGATATGAAAGAACAAAAGAAGAACTAAATGAGCTTTCTTATAATGGAATCCGCTTAAATTTCCCAAAATGCACAGTTTGGCCTCGAAATGACCAATATCACTGAAGGGATCATCACTCTTAGTGTGGAGTTTCTAAGCACAACTGACAACTGCTCTATTTGCACGATCGATCTGGTTTTGAACATGTCAACTGTTGATGTAAGTACCTTAAAAGTACATAGTAAGAGGTCTCTGCATCGCCAAGGATCCGATCGTCCGATACTTATGAGAACCAAACAGAACTTAGTAAAAAAACTATTACACAGAAACAGAAACATGAAGCTTGAAAGGCGATTATGGAATCAAAGTTTTGGGACATTCGTTAATTATCTACGTTAAATTTGCCCTCGGTGAGAAAGTGGGGTCGCTCGATTGTTGTTAGAGGGCGACCAACCAAATTTTATCACAATATTTTACAATTTGGGGTTGATTTCAACAATGAAGAAATCAAAGTTCAAACACGAAACGAAAATCTCGTCATTTTCCATTTTGAAAGAATTGGAGAGGTTGGAAAAATTGGAATGTCTGAGGAGTTTATAAAGAGCATGAAAAACAAAACTAGCTGGACAAAAAAAAACGTTTTAGCTTTAAGACCCCAAAAATCAATCAAATGATAAATATCATGACTCTTTGTTTTAGGCCGACACCTGGTTTGAACAGTTTGTCGATATTGTCGAAGAAACTGGGTAAGTAATTATTGCAACAAAAGTTGAAACTGTTCCTAAATACCAACTTCAAAATCTAAATATCAGTTTTTCATGCTTTACCAAAAAAAACAGTTAACTAGTTGAATCACTCAAACTACAATATTGCTTTTTTTCATTTTGTTAAGAAATTTTCGATGTAGCTGTTTTCATGGGACATAAACTTCCAAAAGTTTGTTATATAATTCCAGGACAAAAATAAAAAACATGTATGTAATTAATGCAAAACAATGTGCAATACTATTTTCAGTCAACGAATCTGAACGACGTTCAATATGTACATTGCAGTCGGTTTTACAAGGTTACAGGTGTTAGGTAGAATTGTAGTTTGATTTGAAAAATTAGTTGTGAGTCTGTCATTTTTTGGCTCATGCAGACTTTATGGTGGGTGGAATCCCTCATGCGCGAAGGACCCAATGCGCGAAAATAGAAATCAGCCAATCCGATTTCAGTAATCTAAGATTTGGAAAGAAAGTAAACATTTTCAGGGACAGGAGTATTGATTTTGGCCGAATATAAAAACGGCGAAAATATGCAAAATTTTCAAATTGTCATTGAGCGCCGCAAAATTGTGACAAATTTTACATTTCAAGAGTTTCGTAATGAAAGAAGCAAAATATTGCATTTAATTCATTTTTACTGAATGGCAATTGTTTCTTTTTAAAAATTGTCTTTCGGCTATTTTTGTCTTCGGTCCTTGGTCTACTAGTTTTTTCGCCCATTCGGTCCTTCGCGCATGAGAATAGCCCACTTTATGGTGCAGCGAGTGCAGTGAACTATCGGTTATCTGCTAATCACACTCAAATAAAAGTTTAGGTAAATGTACCCTAAAAATACTTTAGAACACCATATCAATAAAAGTAAGTTTGCACTACTTTAAGAACGGGGCTTAGGAAATTAGACGATAAGCAAATTAGACGGATGCGACAAAAACAAAGTTACACGGAATTTATTTTTTACAGATCTGGCATTTTAGACGAAAGGGAAAGGGCCAACAAATTTTTTTTTTAAGAGTCAAGTTTCACAAATATAAAAAGAACATAAAATGTCAATACCTATCAAAACAATTAGTTCAAATGAACATAAAATGTCAAATCTGAATATTACAGGAGAGTTTTGAATTGAATAAGTTATGCATGATTGACTTGTAAAGTTTTTGGCCACCGAAATTGAACTGTTGTCTACAAACAATTTTATTTTTCTAACGCAATTTGTGTGCAAACAAAGTTACTTTCTCTCACTCTCGTCTATTTTTTCACAATTGTAGTTTTGCAAAACCGTCTAATTTCCTTTTAAGTACCTCCGTCTAATTTGCTTATCATCTATTTTCTCAACAGCCTTTAAGAACACCTTTACTTATCTAAAACACTTTACAAATTTACCTTAAATCGCCCTACAAAGTTACCTTAAAACTTTTTTATTGGCAATTTTTATAGTTGCATCGTGAGTTTCTGTGGAAAACAACGGCTCAGCCCCTATCGGAATCGAACAGATGGAGTGCTAGTTTTGTTATATTGCTGTAAAATTGGATATTAGATTAGCCCATTGAAGCAAAATTTGCGACCGAAGCTGTTCAAAATGTTTCTGTAGAAGACAATTCAACTACACTTCTTTTTGCAAATAAATTTCCGGTTTTTTGAAAAATCTCAAGTGCCGAGTTCAGGGGCGGATCTAGGATTTTCTCGAGGGGGGATGGATTTTCGAAAAAATTTCGAAAATTTTGACGACTTTTTTTTAGGTCGATCAAATTTACTTTCTGAGCTCTCCCAATCCACTATAAAGACCATAATTTGACCCAGTTTTCTGCGCCGCAGGAAAAAATTTTTAAAAAAGGGGTTTTTAGGCATTTTTACAATTTTTTGACCAAAAAATCGCGTTCTTTCGGCGCGCGCTCCCCTCAAAATTAAAATTTATCGCCTTTAGAAAAATTTAGGGGTACGTCAGCCAAAAATGGATATCTCAAAATAGTTCAAAGGGGGACCCTTTGGGTCGGTAGGGGGTCGAATCCCTGAAGAGGGAAACGTCCATCCCCCCTCTAAATCCGCTACTGGCCGAGTTGATAATCTGAGAAATGATAATGTGAACTTGGTTATTAAACTCTCAGGAAAACTCAAAAAATCAATGTGTTGGAGGGAGTATTGGTTGGAGCAGGAGCGGATTTTTCTCGAGGGGGGGGGGGGGGGGCAGATTTTCAAAAAAAATCGAAAATTTTGTCGATCTTTTTTTTAGGTCAACCAAAATCAAGTTTTCAAAAAAAAAACATGTCAAAAAAGCCGTTTTTTGGCAATTTTTGAAAAACGTTGACCAAAAAATTGCGTTTTTCGGCGCGCACCTCCTTTCAAAATTAGTTTTATAAGTGTAGCTTTTTTAGTTTTGATTCATATCAGGCGCGTTTTTGAAGATTGACTCATTGTTCATGACATAGTCATTGCTGGTGGTGGAGCCCATCTCTAGTCTTATTCATATCTTTTCGTCGCCAAGATTTCACACTATTTTTTGAAAAATTCACTAATTTGGTCGCAATCGTCTTGACGCTTTTTGTTTAATAAGTTACAAAATTAGGACCGAACTTCAGTAAATATGTTAATGTGTAGGTAACGCTTTATCTGGTTTTTCTAACGCTTTTCTATATCTGGTTTTCCGAAGTTCTACCTTTTGATCATACTGTACCAGCCATCAGTTGAGTCATTTGGTTCTGTTTCAGCTTCTTGCAAGGGTACTTAGATTCCTTGCCCGCAATTTATACACATGTCATCTAATAACACCACAACTAAGGGCTCTCTGTTTTTTTAGTCAACGAGTAAGAAGCTCTGTATCAAATAGAGTTTGTGGTTCTACTTGTTCTCTCAACAACGAATGATTTAACAACTCTAGTGAATTGAGTTTTTTTGTCAATTTTTTTATGTTGATTTCCGTTGTTCTGCATCTTTCTTAGAGTATTTTTAGGATTTTTTGTTTTGTAAATCAGAGATGAGCTCACCCACGAACAATAAAATTAAAATTGTAATGAAACTCTACTACAAGCAATTTTTCATAAATACAAACTATATGGCTAACACTTTGCCATAAATAAAAAAACTTATGGTTTTTCGAGTTTTGCTAAATAATTTTGTGTTCTGTTCAAACTTACAATGACCAAAAGAATTTTCTAACACAAGAAGCCCCATTGGTTGATTAAAAAAATCTGACAGGTATCCGCATTTAAGTAGTTACTGAATAAGAAAAATTCACTCAGAAATTTGAATAAAAAACGGTAAGCTTTTGTATTTGGCTAGAAAATTTTTAGTCATTAATTTTACTTTTCGAATGTCGTGGCCTGAAGTTTTGAACAGTTTGAACAAAAATCCTGAGTCAATTTTGCATATTTTGCTAGAAAAGTTCGGCCTGGATCACGTTATAGTAAAAAAAAAAACAAATATATGCATGCCAATTGTCTTTTGTTTTGAAAAATGCTTCTAAGTATGTAAGTGATATTGCGACTAAAAATTCGGGAAAAAGAATCCCTGAAAGTTGGATTTTTACTTCGTAATTTTTTTTGCAGCAAGGTATAATATCTGAAATCTGTATGATAAACATTTTTTCCATACACTCCGAGTATGAAATTTTATGAAAGCATTTTTCTTCTATCGAATTGTATGACAAGCATTTTCCGTATGAATGTCAAGCGTATGGAGGTCAAGCTGAGTGTTTTTATGTTTAAGCAGATTACATATGCAATTTGATGACTTACTCTATATACATATTAATAAACGGGAAAAACTTCCTTATAAAAAAATTTTGTGTGAGAAAGTTCAATCGCTTCTACATGCTTGGCTGATTCGAAAAAAAAAACATTGAAGAGTTTTTCCCGTTCGCACGATTTTTTTTAATTTACACCTGTGGTCAGATTATTTTGTTTACAAGCGAATCTGGTTTAGGATTCTCCCGTGTTAGTCGCTACTTTTAGCGCTCAAAGCTTTTATAGAAAAAACCGGTGTTTCTTCTATTCATCCAATGTTTAACATTGTCCTTCAAATCATCTTAAATTTCAGCTCCAAATGGCTCTGGCTGTTGGCAACCATATTCGGCATCGTGTTCTTCATGGTGCTATCTTTCATCGCAGGCTACGTATGCCTCCAGAAGTGGATTCAGTTCAAGGAAACAAACCGACAAATCGACATTTATGACGAGTAACTTTCACTTGCTTGTTTTGTGTGATTTTTTGCTCCCACATATTCACTTTTGAACAGAAGATTTGGAGCCTAGAGAAAAAAAAACAAAAACAATTAAGAAAACAAGCTGCAGAAAAAATGATCTGTCAAAGCGAAGTTTTACTTTCTAAATAGCAATTTGATTAATTGTTGACTGTACGATCAAATAAACTTGGCAGAACACTCAATGAAGGTCGTGAACAAAGATTTTCACTATGGTTTATTTGAATTTTTCAGGAGAACAATGAAGGAAATGGAGAAGTATGACGGGATAACTCCACTGCCTATGTACGATTTCACGCCAAGGTCAGTAAACTGTCTACAAAAACATATTCCTGAGTAGCATCAAATACACGTTTTGAGCTCTAACTTTTACCTCAAAGTATAACTACAGGGTAATTTTGTGTGTGAGTAACTGCCTAATAATCGATTGTTTTGATCTCGTTTGTCGTATTTGAAAAAGTTTGATCTTAAAAGAAGGTTGGGATAAAAATTTCTTGAAAAGGGCTTGATTTTCGTGTAAACTCTGCCAAGACTATCAAGCGTAGCAGTCCTCCTGCACTGGAGTTCCATGGAGAAAAATCGATTGCATTTAAGTTTTATTGTATGTGTCTGTAAAAATGAAAAATAATTGATCATAATCAAATAAAAATTGATTAAATTGCTATTACTTAATAACGCTATATAATCCATTGCAAAACAATGAGCAATTACTTATAAAATTGACAGACAAAAACATGACACTCCAATGTAGTAGATTTTTCCCACTTTTTCGAGTTTCGGATAGGCATGCAAGCATCAACGTACCTAAAGCCGTTTGAGCGTTTTGAACAATAATTGATTACCTGCTGTTCAATTTCAACTTTTTTGCGCAACTTTAATTATTGTTACGCATTTATTTTTGTTCGATTTTTTTCAACTGTTTTCTTGCCTGATTCAAAATTTTTTTCTGGGGAGAGGTTGCAAATGGATGGCTTAATCAATTGTTTGAATGTTATATTTGCACCCGCATTTAAGAAAAAGGAAAACAAATCGATTATAATGGATTTTCGTGGTCAAAATGTTGTAAATATAATCGATTTCCATTTTTATGTTTGTTGTATCGCTTCGCTTCGCCTCTGTGTCGGTATTATCGACTTCTATGTCGTCCTCAAAATTCAAATTGGATTAAAAATTTATCGTAGTGCAACATTTGTCAAATTCAAAATAATTTACAATTCATTACCTACCAATTGAAAGAGATTTTTTCAATAAATTCTTTCAAATTGCAAAACGTTAAAAACTCCCCCATGTTTGCTCTTTTGCCCCTTCCTTACGCAACCTGTACACACCTAGTTTGTGACCCTTGCCTCTTATCCAGCCCCATACATAAATACATACATCAATAAATACATCCAAGAAGTCGATAATACCGACACAGAGGCGAAGCGAAGCGATACAACAAACATAAAAAACATAACTAGTCAAAAATGAAAAAAGCGAAAATATTATAAAGTAAACTAGATCTACCAACATTTAAATTTTCGTATATCTCGATAGAAGTTCACTCCAGGCAAATAAGCTAGACAATTTAATAAAAAATAGGCAACGAAACAAAATTTACGAAGAGGAAACAAAGCTGATAATCTTTATGCAGACACAATTTGAGCCGAGAAAAAAAGATTTTTCCAAAAAGAATTTATAATTTATGTTCTTATTGAAGTTACAATGAACAACACTAGAACTTGCTACTACAATGAAAGCTGCTTACACCACAGGAAAAATCAGTGACGAGGCTGCTAAGTCGACCATCTTTGGCCAAACACCATTTGAACCGAAAAAAAATCGATTTTATACATTTTTTGTTCATCTTTCAAGTCTCTCCCTGAAAAGTTACTTGAAGCTATTAAATAATAACTTATTTGGTATAAGGCTGAATGTTAAAACAAAACTCAGGAAACTTTGAGACACATGAACATAATAAGACAAAGCAAGAAATTGCTGAGTGTATAGAAAAATTTCAAATAGCTGTTTCGTTCTGAAAGTATCAGATCGAAACCAGGACCAAAAGAATCCAAATGGAAGCAAAGCTGCTTGTAGTATGTGAAGGCATTCATAAAAAGAAACCCTAGAACGGCATTTTAACAATAATCACTCCCAAGTTGCGTTCTGAGAGTCTGGCAGTGGCTGCGGCTCGGATCAAAAATCACTCGGTTGTCTCAAAGACTATTGGCAAAAAAAACAGAAGCTTCTGATTGTGGCGCAAAACAGGAAAGTAGTTTAGAATAAATAGAAAAATGAGCACTTGTAACAAAAATAACAGACAATTGGAGCTGGGTGGCATGAGAGTAAAAGTGATGTCAAAACAACATTAACGTTGCTTTGACTGGGAGCAAGAAGTTAAAATGTCAATGCTACGTTGTAAGATTTTTAGACTGCAAACTCGGAGGACTGGAAGCAAGGACTGAATGTGGTAACAGTCGTAACCATTTAAGATTGCTGCATGAGAGCTGCACGTCTATCACGATCTATCACGGATAGATGTTGCAGATAAATTTAGCAAGCAGTGTAAGCCCTAAAAACATCGGATTCTGTGCCACATTTAAATGTCAAAAATACAGAGAGAAGGCGATTGAAAAATTGAAAGAAGAGAGAGAGAGAGAGAAAGAGAGAGAAAGAGAAAGAGAAAGAGAGAGAGAGAGAGGAGAGAGAGAGAGAGAAATAAAGAAAGAAAGAAAGAAAGAAAGAAAGAAAGAGAGGAGAGAGAATAAAGAGAGTTGAGAGAAAAAGAGAGAGATCAAGAGAAATTAAGAAAAGGCTGTTAAAATTCTTTTTTTAAAGCAAGAGAAGACAAAATGCTGTTGTTGAAGCAAAACTTATGAATAGCAGCTGTGGGAACTGGATCAACTACAACAAATTTAAAAAGATGCTTGAGAGTTGTTATTTTTAAGTATTGGTGCAGGCAACTAAGCGATGCAAAAAAGCCGGTTGTCCTAGCCCGTTGAAATTTAGTGCAAGAAAAACTGAAAATCAAATATTCTGGAAGAAAGTACAACAGAAACGTCTACTATAAAACACACTCCAAAAATGTCAGATGAATTAGGCCTATAGGTTTTTGAAGCGCTTTAAAGAGTTTTTTGATATTTCAGAAAAATCACTAGGAAAAGCGGAACAAAACAATCGAAAATTTTTTCCTACGCTACACGCAAATCATATCGTTTTTAGAGAAAAATTACTATTTCAATTCATTAAACCACCTTTATCGTGAGAACAAAAAAAGTTACGCTTCAATTCAGATTTGGGATAAAACGCAGTTCGAACAAAACGTTGTAATTCTGCTCAGATTGTATTTCTTAACATCAAAAGTTCCAATCAATATCAATTGAAATGCCACAACGCAGTGACGTCCAGAGTTTCTTTTCGAAAATTCACAAAAGCCTTTCACAAACTCACAGGCAGGTTATGCTCTTTGACCTCATACTGGCTTCGAAACAACTTTTTTGAGGGGCTGAAGTTGCGTTTTTCACAAAGAGAGGATAGAGTGTGGTGAGAGAGAGACAAGGAAAAATTAAGGCAATAAAAAGCTTATTTTTTCAAAACAAGAGAAAACAAAATATTGTTGTTAAATCAAAACTTTTTAATAGCAGCTGTGAGAACTGGATCAACTAGATCAATGTAAATTGATGCTTAAGGGTTGTTATTTTTAACTATTGTTGCACACAACTTATAGATGCCTATCTTTTTTCTGAGATAAAACTAGCCAATTATCGTAGTCTTTTCAAAATAAGTGCCAGGAAAACTACAAATCAAATTTTCTGGAACAAAACAGGACCGTACAAAAAACGACTGAACGGCAATCCAAATAGGTCATAGGATGTGCTCCTTTGGGTTTTTGAAACGTTTCGAAGAGTTTTTTTAAATCAATATGTCACTATGAGAAATGAGGAAAAAGCAAGTGTATTTTTTCCCGCAAACCGAATCATGTTTTTTTTTTTGAAAAATTGTACTATTTCAATCATTTTTGCAAGTTTATAAAAGACAAAATTAAGTTTCGCTTCAATTCAGCTCCGAGGTAGAAAAGCATTTGAACAAAGCGCTGGAGCTCTGTTCAAAATATTTTTCTTAACTATAAAACACCACGAAGTTATTTGAAAAACCACATCGCACTGAAGTTCAAAACTTGATACTGAAAGTTCACAAAAAAGCCAATGATTTTAAGCACATGATGCAATAAGACCTCACACCAGCCCACAGGAGATCTAAGGTTTAATCCTAAGTCTGTTTTTATGTCGTAAGTCGCCTTTTTAAAACGCTTTGTTTGCGTTTTTTGGATTTCATTCGTGGTTATACTTATTCATATGTTATATTGGTACTCGGTGAAACACATCTACCAAATATTGTTGAACCAGCCAATTATTCTGCTTTTTTGAGCCATTTGGAAAGAAAGAAGGAAACGACCTTATTTTCAAAACCAATTTTTCTACTAGAAAGCCCACATTTTAAATCAATTAACCAAATTTACTGAACAGTGAGACAATCATTCAAAATGGGAAACTTTTTGAGACGCATTTGTTAAGTGGTTGATCATGCATCCTAATAGGAAAATTTGGCATGGCGCAAAAAATGATACAATTTAAGTATTTATTGGATTTCAACTCTACTTTCGTAACCAAAAACTGTTCATTTTGTGTCATTCGGAAACATATTAACCCAAAGATGAGGCCGTTAAAATAAAACCTTTTGTAGGTAGGCTGAGAAGAATACCAATTAGAGATGCCTTTGCCTGTCCTCTCCACTAGATCTGTTGCTAAGGCTTAATGCAGTTATGAATTCCGAGCCAAGTTTGAGTTTCAGTTAGAAAAAGATGGGCAAAACAACTTTTTTTATTACTCTCTCCCCATGAAAACTTGAATTGGCAATTTCTTCGATATTAAAGAAAAACTGGAAAACTTTTTATCAATTTTTTAGTTTCATCGAGCTCATTGACTTTTTTATTTGTCTGTTCGATTTAAAATTGAGAGCTCTGTTTATTAAAAGTTATTCCAAAAAAGAGACTTCGTTTGAATATATAACGAGACGACTTCTTACGGTTTTGATGTAAGAAAACTGTTCAGCTGTAGAAAACTGAATAATAGCTAAAAAAACTCTTCTTTTTAAAATCTAGACAGGGTTATTCATAGGGCTTGATGACATGCAAATTTCGATTGAACGTGATGTTGGTTTGCCTTGACACATATCAATTGAAATCAGGCAAACAATTCCTCTTGCAAAGTTTGCTTAAATTTATTTTTAATCCGTCATGATTCTTCGTATTTTACATTTAACAAAATGATTTTGTAATTAAAATATTTGAAGTTTTCTTTAGCAGCAGAAAACTTTTATTCAAAATTCAATCAAAATCAAAATAAAGTACATCAAAATCGAAATAAATTACATACTAGTCAGGGCCAGATCTAGGAGTTTCTCGAGGGGGGAGGGTGCGAATTTTCAAAAAAAACTGAAAATTTTGTCGACCTTTTCTTAGGTCGAATAAACTGATTTTCTGAGCTCTCGTAAAACCTTGTAAAAAGGCGTTCTTAGGCACTTTTTGGAAAATTTTGACCAAAAAATTGCGTTTTTTCGGCGCGCGTTCCCCCTGAAAGTTCGTATATAATAGCGCCAAAGGCGACTTTAGAAATTTTTAGGGTCCCTGGCCAAAATTGGATATCTCAAAATAATATAAAGATGGAACCCTTTGGGTCGGCGGGGGGTCGAATCCCTGAAGGAGGGAGTCACCCGCCCCCCTAAATCCGCTGGTGCCTACTGTTATAGTGTTTTCTTATACTTTGCATAGAAAAGGATATTTTTAAGGTTTTATCGTTTGCGTTTTTCTGTCATTTTTTTCGGAAGCTCAGTTGAGCAAGCGCCGCCCAAAAATCAGTTATGCTAAATTTGAATTTTAAAAAAACTTCGATGTCGGTTTAAATAGACAAGATTCAGGAATAAAGATCAAGATTAAAAATTGGGATTCATTTTCTATACATATGATTATCAGGCTCTATATGCTCCCCCACCCGCCTCCCTTAAACTTTTTCAAGTAAATTCTGGTTTAGATTGTCCGATTGTTACAAAAGTTGGCTTGCTTACTAATTAGGACATCAAGAGCACTGAGTTAAGATGGATGTGGTTAACTCATAGAGTAATTTCGGATAGGGTACACCGTCTGCTCGTCACGCTATCTTATTTTCGGCCGGATAGATTCGTGCAACTTCTTAGTCTAATACCGATCCTAATCTTACTCTTATATCTACTAGTCTCCGGGTGTTTAACTAGTCTCTGCTAGGCTCAATAGATCTAGAGTATACTGGCTTATTGCGGCAGCTGAAGTTCTCTTGGAGACGCAACTAAGTTCTAAGTTAAATTCAAATCTCTCTGGTGCTGAAATTACAAGTAATTTCAGCACTTACAAATAAGTGGGTTGTTAGTTAGATGGATTATGATTGGTTAATATTAAATACTTTACAGTGGTAAAATATCTAATTTATCCAATAATAAAATGTAGTTTAGATCAAGTTCCACCCATCCGGGTTTTACAGAGTTTTTGGAACTATCTTTCTTCTCTGCAATTTGAAGGATGGATGATGAACGTTTGTATTTGGCGAACATCATTTTCTTATCCGGTTCCTCTTGAGGAAGAACGTTCCAGGACGCTGGAATCAGGGATAGGAAGTTATTGTTTTGTCATTCGACAACGACTGTGATACCCAATGAAATCAATCCGATTTCAAAATGGTTTGCTATGACGGGTTTTTCTGTATTATATAGAGAACTTGTTTTGTGTGCAACCTCGTCTGGGAATGGCGTGAAGATCGTGTGTGGAAGTGATGCCTTGTAACTCGGATCTGTACGTATACTTGAACATCGAGGTGGTCATTGGTCTAGTTCAATGAAGTCCTTTTCTGCGAAATCAAGTCGTACTCTAAATCCTTTGAGTTGTGATTGTGGACGGCATGTCGGTTGTGCTTAGCCATTCTTTTGTTGGAGTGTGATGGGATCATCTAGTCTTTGGATGTTCGTCTTTGTTGTTGTGTATTGATCTATATACTGCAAAGTATGATTTACATTTTATAAAATTATGTTAATTCAATTTTTTAATCATGATTTTAGTTAGTTGTTTTCACAAAAGCGTTTTGTTTTAGTTTGGTTATTTTGAAGAGTTATTAAAATTAGAAGTGTGGTCACAAAGCGTGGATGTAGCGCGGTGGATTAGGCCGGCTATAGAGCATGCTCAGGACGTCCTCTCTGGTGGGTTAGGCCAGGAGTGGGAGTATGATTTCATGCTGTTTCTTTGAGAGGTCCTGTTATGTGATAACGTTTTATGTTGGGTTTATGTTGGTCTTTCTTATGTTACTTTGGTTGTGTCCTTTTTTCAAAAATCAAATTGTTTTTGGTATGGGTTAGAGTTGCTCATCCTAAAATAACTTGTTAACTATTGTGGCTTCTGCGATTCGCAGAGGATCTATGAAAGGCTATCTAGCCTGTCTAAGCATTGTCCGTTTCTCTTATTTCCCCTCACTCCAGACTGAGCTATTTTGTTGAGCGAAGCTCTTTTTCTTTTTTTGTGTCTAGAGCTAAAACCTCTAGTTATACTATAAAATTGATGCTTTTGTGAAGTGGAACCGTGGAGGGTAATGTAAAAGGGGCTGATTTACGAAATCAAGTCAGCCACGGTATATTTCGAAAAAGTGAACAAAGATTTAAAGCAAGCAATTTTTTTCTAAATCGAAAAAAAACTGATTTTGCTTGCAATATTGATATTTCGCCTGTACTTTCAGCTACGCCATGGGATGGGGAGCCAACAAAAGACACATTTCAGGATCAGATTGGGTTCACGCGAATGCGTTCAACTAACCGCCTCGCCGGTCTCCAGTGATGTCTCAAAGCAAGCGATGTCTCAAAACAACTGGTGACGTCTCAGCTCCATCAGAATTAAAAACTTTTGATATTTTATGAAAAGCGTTTCCGGACTCCTAACCTCTCGTCTTAGCAGACGCTATTGTGAAAATCGTTTATACCTGCGAGAAAAGCATATTTATGTTTATATCTACGTCAAAAACTTGATAAAAAACTTCGCGTCACACGTTGAATTTGCTCCTATTATAGTTGACGTGAAGTTTGATGTAAGGAGGAGGAGGGAGAGGGAGGGACTGGAAAAATTACCTTATAAACTATGATAAACTGTATCGCTCAATGGATCCATACAATGGTTATGAAAAGTTAACGATTAAACTACGGGAGTTCGAAATTATTTGTATCATATTTGTAGATCCGTTGAGCAAGTCCCATAAGTTGTAAATAAACGTCTTGACCGCCTTACAAAGTTGACTGCTTATAGTTTAGTGTCTGATGCATTCGCGAATAGTTTGAATTGAATTGTATTAAACTAAAATTATTTATTTAAAAGAAAAAAAATAATTTAAGCAATTTGGACTGGTTCCACGGATTGCAATTGAAGTCAAAATTGGATGTGGGCGTTGGAGCCAGTTGTTCAGTCACGGGACAAAGATAGTTCACAAGGAAATATAGAAAAATTGCTTCACATTTTTGTCGTTTTATCTGTGCAGCTATTTTAGATTTGGAAGGATATAGACGGATCAATAATTGAGAAACCATGTTTTGAAAGCGTAAAAAAGCCAGTTTATCATAATTCGTTTCAAAGGTGTTCTTGCTGTGGAAACAAAAAATTTGAATTAATGGGCTCATTTTGTTTTTTTTTGGAATCTGATTAGCTTCATTTACTCTTTATACAGCGGAAAAACGACAGCCAAAAATATTTTAAAAGTTACTTGGACCAGAGTCAAAAATGGCAAGAAAACTTTTTGCACCGATCAAAAAGGGCCAAAAACGAACTCTTTCAGCAAAAATTTGGACAGAGAAAGTTCCGATCCAAGCACAAGATTCTCATAAGCAGTTAGTGTCTCCAACTTTAGTAAAGTTTTTCGGTGTACAAAGGCCTTTAAACGTCTGTATCGTCAAAACAGATGCGACCGCTTTCTGATACCTGACCGAGTAACTTCTTCAGTCGATTGTGCCGCGGCATATAGAGTAAATCAAGCTTGTAAGCTTCTCAAAGAGTCCATTTGAGCCCGAAATTCAATTATTTTGTGCTGTTTGCGAGGATGTTTCCACAGCAAGAACACCTCTGAAACTAGTTATGATGTAATGTCTATTTTACAATAGTACCAAATGGGAGAAACTTGGGGCGGCAAAAGGGACGAGTTCCTGAGGTTGAAAGGAATGTTCCCCCCCTGAACACGCTTAGTCTTCTATTGAGTCTATGCATGAGTTTGCAGCCGTTGGGCGGTTCGAAACAACTTCAAGTTTCAGGAGGTAGGCCTTATCAAGCTATTTTAATAATTACAGATCAATAACTCAATTGCATTGGCTGACGTTCGTTTTTTTTTTCTCACCACCCCACCCCCTAGAGGGGTGGGGAGGAACTATGATGGCATGGGGTTGGGTTTTATCTGATATTTTCTACACCAAGTAGGGGTCAAGTTTGGTAGCAAACAGATTTATCGCGGTTTCAAGGTCAATTTAGCTTGAATCATCTCATTATTGCAGATTATTATAGAACTGAATCAGCTCCCACTGATTATCTTACATTATCAGTGTAGCTGGAACAAACTAAGCTACTTGACTAACCCTCAGCTGGCTATCACTGTTTTTTAAGATACATAGGCTTCAGCTGTATTTACTTTTTTCAGTCCTATTTTAGATATTTTTTATTTCTTCTACATTTTGCACTTTTTTTTAATATAAATTTCTTTTTTCTGTCCTTTTTTCCACTTTTTTCCACTTGTCGCTTTTTGAAAGTTATTAAAAGGTTAAATTTGAGTTTGAGGTTGCAATGCGATATAAAGACCATCGAAAAAAGAATTTGATGTTAAAGAGCCTAACCATTGCTTAAAAGAAGAAGAGCAAAATTACAATAGGTGGCGTTTCTAGAACTTAAGAATGGTGCAGGTAATAAATTTGAGAACTATCATGAATAATGTATTCATCTGACTTTCGGTCAACTGTACATGCTACTTGTCTCTGCCTCGTTTCGGTTCTGAGTTAGATCGGTTTCGGGTAGCTGGCTGGTTGATAACATTACATTTCATACGTAAATTAACCGTAATCGTCAGAAACTACGAGTCAACAAAGAATAACTAACTGCCATAAACTTCGGCATTTAAAAGCAGAATTCAATGACATGAAATACGTAACATGCAAACATTGGTAAATCAAATTTAAAACAGCGCATCAAAAACTAGTGAACTTTGTTTCGGTCTTTCAGTTTTCGACTTTTCTAACACTATTCTTTCTTCACCAGAAAATTCATTAGTTATGACATTGATTTTGTCTCGCTAAAATTCTAGCGAAAACACTACTAAGATTTTTGTAAACACAATACTCTGCCAGAAAAAAAAACTTTAAAAAAAAACAAATTTTGCACTTCTGCCAAATAATTCAGCTTTGAATTAAACTATATACGAAGTATTCGAAGTATAACGAAGAAAACTGTTGAATCTGCTACCTATTGTCAAACATCACCGATCACCGAAACAAATGAATGAATGAATTAAAACGAACTCCCATTAACAAAAAATTAGAATAAACTCAGAAATAGATTTAAAAGAAGCGAATTCCACTGCTTCCTCAGAAATTTGTCCCCATAACAACTCAATGGGTCTCCCCTACCTGCTAATATCTTAAAAGAGTCATTTCTGGTGAAACAATCGTAACATTTTTCTGAAGGCCTGATCAGGGCCAGCATACACAAATTGTAAGCAGAGAGCGCGCGCCTAAATTAGGCAAGTTTTTGGAGTAAACCTTCTGAAAAAAGCCCGAAGACGTCATTTCAGTCCTATTTTTCTAGTTCTTTTGTCGTCGTACTCATTCGAAGAGAGTTCGCAAAATCAAATTGATGAATTTTGTTTTTAATAACTTTTAGAAATTCATGTGAAAATCAATTTAATCCAGCTCCTCTTGAGTACCGGTTGTTTAGTTGATCGTATTCTGACAGCAATTTTTGCACGTCAGCCTGAAAATAAAATCAGCAAGAAAATCGGTAAATTGCTTGAATTTATTTTTACGAACACTTAGCGTAGTAAAGGTAAGGAACTACTGTGAAGAGTCTGTTTCTTTCCTTTCGACTTTCAGGAACGCTCCTATGGGGTCAAATGAGGTATCCTATTAAAGCCTTAGAAATCATTATTTTCTCGGGCTCCGAAAATCTTTAAATTGTAGAGAAAAACTGGCATGTAATTTTTCATTTTTTAGACCTTGAGTTTATGAATGACACGAAATGAGATTCTGAAATCTCAAAATATTTTTCACTACAGTGTTCGTCTCATTTCAGCTATTATTACCACTAACTCGCGCAGTTTTTCACCTAATTCAATCGTGCTTTTAATACCAGACAATTTCGAGAAAAAAAAATTGCCGCCTGTTGTGCAAGTAGCAAAAAATGTTCCCCGCTGAGTGTAGCAAAATTCTTAATTATAGAAACTTTTTTTTCAATAAAAAAATTGTTATTTTTTTGCATAAAAATGTATGTTTTTTTATCTTAATAACAAGTATAGCCTTAAAACCTGGTAGAATTAAATTTGGAGTTCTGCTTCTAGTTCATACCTTATTGGTTATCTAACTTAGTCTGAAAAAATGCAAACCAATTTTGCGTCATACTGAGACAATGGTTTAGAATCCCAATCAAGACTAAGGGGATTTCAATATGATGCCACACTTGAGCCTTACGAGGTAACCTCGGGGTCATCAACACAAGAAAACAATTTTAAAAAAAACGTTATTTTTGCTTAAATGCTTTCCAATCTTGGAGAGTTGTCGGTCGGGACGAAAAAAAAAAGTTTTTTTTTTTAAATTTTTTTTATTTTTTCATTTCTCAGTTGTCTGTTTTCATAAATTTATGTTGTTGGAACGATATGGACTACATGTGCAGCAGCTGGCTATCGTCGTTTTTTAAAAAAAAACGCTCTAAGAGGTTTTTAAGAAATCTGCCGCATCACTCTACGATAAACCCTTCAGATCTTTTAAACAAAAACGATATCGTCAATTTTTTGATGTGTCAAGATCTACAAGTGTTTCACGAAGACTTTATAATAAATCAAATTTTAAAAAGGTGACATAAGTTGTATGACTCAAGGTTTGAATTGTTCCGTTTTCAGGAATTTCAATTCAGTTGATCAAAAAAGATTTCTCTAGTAGCAAAAAAGGGCAACTGGTAAGTATGAGATGCGCAGGAACATTGCCTCTGTGTTAAATATCAGTTAATTTTGATAATCACTTTTTGAAATTTGGTAAACAAAGTCACATTTCCAATCACGATTATAGCTTTTGTGGACACGGAATAGATATACACTAATTTCTGGCTTTGAGAAAAAATCACTTGAAAACCTCAAAAACCAAGATTTTCTAGAGAGGGACATCTCATAAAAAATTTTTATGATGTCTCGTCGACTAATTTAATTTTCTGAGCTCTCTGATGACACGAAAAAGTCACTTCCTTTATTAAATTTTTTGGCACAGCCGCCAATCAGATTTTTGACAAATCGCGGTGAGTTTAGAAAACAAATTGAAGATTGATCTGCCAAAAAAAAGAATTCGAACAGTGGTTTTAAATGTTTTAGCAAGTTAATATAGTCCTAAGAGAAAGTGGCAACCGCCCAACCCCTAAACCCACCGTGCATTCAGTGGAACATTTTACGATTTCATTGCACATTCTTGACGTCCATGACAGTGTGATAACATAGTTTCACCGTTGAATTTCATTTTAGATTCTCGAAAACTAATTTGTTGTAAACAAGTTTGTAACCTCTGGCAAAGAAGTTTTGTATGCAATCAGTGCATTTAAAATACAAGTAAGAATCTATTAAATTACTTCTTGCAGTTTTCAAATCCAAGACGAGTTCAATCACGAATCCCAAGTTTCTGCAAAACTCTTTTTCATTTCTTCAAAAAGCTTCTTGTTCTGCAAAACCTCCAGAGCTGTTTTAGCTAAACCTTCCGCAGAGTCCATCGCGCATACAAACGACTCGTCCGATTTTGCCGCCTCGGCAAAGGGGGGCGAGTGAGCGGACGCATTGTTACATGGGATGCTGAAACAGGGGTGAATGGCGGGAACAACTCGGGAGACATCCCCCATGTCGGTGCTGCCTTGGAAGAGTCTCTCGTTCTCGGAGGGGAATTTATAACCGAGTGCTTTCATTTTCTCCTCGTAGATACGACCCAGAACTGGGTTCTGCACCACACTATCGTAAGACACACTTTGCTGTTAATATTCGAAGATAAATGAACGTGGATATTCAAATAGTTGAACAAAAAGCCCAATGTTGCAAAATTTACCTTGTGGCGCGAAAAAAAAATTGTCTAAAGTTGGTTTTTAGGCTCTTCAGAAAATCTCAAATAAGTATTTGAGATGAATTTGAAATCTTTCGAAAATTGATTCCCTTGAAAAAATCCTTAGATCTGCCCAAATACGCCAGTAATTGATATTTAATAAACTAATATAAAACTTAGAACGCAGAAACAATTTTGCAGTTTTTGCACGGCTGCTTGAATAGAGGAAAGTATCAGGGTTATAACGAATCGTCTTCACCGTCATCTTTAAATTGAAAATCGAGGATGTGGGGGAGGAGTTTAGCTTTCATCTAGAACAACCAAAGCATCTGATAGCCTCCTTGTTCCGACCACTCACGTAAACTGTTGGGAAGAAACTATACGGATTAGCCTGCGTTATTTTGTCGCCCGACTTACAGTTCCTCAAAGAAAGCTCCTAGAAGATCAAATGTCGCATCATATTAAAGCACTATTGGTTGTGATTCCAATTCCAAAAGAAATAGAAAAAAGTTGTCTCTGTAGAATTGTAGAATCTACTGTATTACATGCTATAGTAACCTGAGCGTAAGATTGATTCGTCATTAAGTTAAGTAATAGAGCAAACAAAGGGTAAAGTTCGAAATAGTTCAATCTTCGAAGATATCGTCCCTCCAATGCCAGAAAACAAACTTTGACAAATCGGCGAAACCCCCCATCGGAACTAAGAAAGCTAATGTTATGAAATTCAGAGGAGTGATAATAGAGATGATTTGAATCGGGCATACAAAAAACGGGACCCCTCAGACCCTTTAGGGGCAAGTGATAACGGTCCCCGGAAGTGTAAATGGCCCTATCAGAACACGGTAACTAGCAGTTGGAATAGACTCAAATTCTAGTACGTTGTAGGCCTAGTTAAGGGGAGCTTAAGTTTGGGAACCCAGACGGGGAGCTTAAGTTCAAAGATAAATGAACGTGGATATTCAAACAGTTGAACGAAAAGCCCAATGTTGCAAAAAAAATTGTCTAAAATTGGTTTTTAGGCTCTTCAGAAAATCTCAAATAAGTATTTGAGATGAATGTGAATTTTTTTGAAAATTGATTCCCTTGAAAAAATCCTTATATCTGCCCAAACACGCCAGTAATTGATATTTTTAAAACTAATATAAAACTCAGAACGCAGAAACAATTTTGCAGTTTTTGCAAGGGTGCTTGAATAGAGGAAAGTATCAGGGTTATAACGAATCGTCTTCACCGTCATCTTTAAATTGAAAATCAAGGATGTGGGGGAGGAGTTTAGCTTTCATCTAGAACAACCAAAGCATCTGATAGCCTCCTTGTTCCGACAACTCACGTAAACTGTTGGGAAGAAACTATACGGATTAGCTTGCGTTATTGCGTCGCCCGACTTACAGTTCCTCAAAGAAAGCTCCTAGAAGATCAAATGTCGCATCATATTGAAGCACTATTGGTTTTGATTCCAATTCCAAAAAAAATAGAAAAAATTGTCTCTGTAGAATTGATGAATCTACTGTATTATATGCTATAGTAACCTGAGCGTAAGATTGATTCGTCATTAAGTTAAGTAATAGAGCAAAAAAAGGGTAAAGTTCGAAATAGTTCAATCTTCGAAGATATCGTCCCTCCAATGCCAGAAAACAAAATTTGACAAAATCGGCGAACACCCCCCCCCAAATCGGAACTAAGAAAGCTAATGTTATGAAATTCAGAGGAGTGATAATAGAGATGATTTGACCAGGGCATACAAAAAACGGGGCCCCTCAGACCCTTGAGGGGCAAGTGATAACGGTCCACGGAAGTGTAAATGGCCCTATCAGAACTCGGTAACTAGCGGTTTGAATAGACTCAATTTCTAGTACGTTGTAGGCCTAGTTAAGGGGAGCTTAAGTTTGGGAACCCAGACGGGGAGCTTAAGTTCGAAGATAAATGGACGTGGATATTCAAATAGTTGAACAAAAAGCCCAATGTTGCAAAATTTACCTTGTGGCGCAAAAAAAATTGTCTAAAATTGGTTTTTAGGCTCTTCAGAAAATCTCAAATAAGTATTTGAGATGAATGTGAACTTTTTGAAAATTGATTCCCTTGAAAAAATCCTTATATCTGCCCAAACACGCCAGTAATTGATGATTATTAAACTAATATAAAACTCAGAACGCAGAAACAATTTTGCAGTTTTTGCAAGGGTGCTTGAATAGAAAAAAGTATCAAGGTTATAACGAATCGTCTTCACCGTCATCTTTAAATTGAAAATCGAGGATGTGCGCGAGGAGTTTAGCTTTCATCTAGAACAATCAAAGCATCTGATAGCCTCCTTGATCTGACCACTCACGTAAACTGTTGGGAAGAAACTATACGGGTTAGCCTGCGTTATTTCGTCGCCCGACTTAGACTTCCTCAAAGAAAGCTCTTAAAAGATCAAGTGTCGCATCATATTAAAGCAACATTGGTTGTGATTCCAATTCCAAAAGAAATACAAAAAAGTTGTCTCTGTAGAATTGGTGAATCTACTGTATTACATGCTATAGTAACCTGAGCGTAAGATTGATTCGTCATTAAGTTAAGTAAAAGAGCAAACAAAGGGTAAAGTTCGAAATAGTTCAATCTTCGAAGATATCGTCCCTGCAATGCCAGAAAACAAAAAACGGGGCCCCTCAGACCCTTGAGGGGCAAGTGATAACGGTCCCCGGAAATGTAAATGGTCCTATCAGAACTCGGTAACAAGCGGTTGGAAAAGACTCAAATTCTAGTATGTTGTAGGCCTAGTTAGGGGGAGCTTAAGTTTGGGAACCCAGACCCCTCAGACCCCCCACTTCTGGATTTATGCCCTAAGTAAACAAACCCACCCTTAACTTCCGGAAGTCGTTTCTCGGCCTCCAATGATTGCAGGGAGCTGAAACTTGGAGAGATCATAGGTAGCACTGAGGTACATCAGCTGTTTTAATTTGAACCAAATCCGGCGGTTGGACCGGAAGCTATTAGCACTTGGAAAAACACCCCCTTAGACCGGAAGTAGGCAATTTACGCAAAATAATGAGCGAGTGCATACTGATTTTATCGCGGCAATAGACATAAGATACGGACCCCGAAAAAAGACCCCTGAGAGTGAAAACCCCTACGATGGCTCCTTCCGGTGTTAATAGCTTTTCCCCGGGAAAAGTGATAATGGACCTTAGAAATGGTATAACTTGTGAAGTACTAATGGGATATGGAAGAAACTTGGTAGGTAGGACCCCTATGGGATTTTGAACCTAAATATGGAAGCTTGACCCCGGTTGACCCCTGGGTGACCTTAAAATGACCTTTGGGCGTTTGACCCCAAGCTTGTATAGAAAACCTCGGGATTAACACCGGAAAGTGGCGTATTTCCCAGCCCAACCCCTGGAAATGAGGAAGGGTCATCTTGCTAAAAATTGGGAGGAAAGCTTATATATTGGGAACTAGAGCAGAAGCTGATAGAGGTATAGCTTTTACATTGCAACCTTGGAGTAGAGGACTTAATTTAAAGTGGACTTGGTAAACATTGGGTTCAATTTAGCTTGGCGTATGTGCTATTAATAGAAAATCAATCAGAGTAAAAGAAAAGTAGTCCCAGAGGAAATTGGTAGTAATAGAGGCATAGCATGAGAGTTAAGTTTCCTAAATAGTATGAATGGACGGGAAATTTATTTGGCTCTCTGGAGGTGAATTTTTGGTTTATGTTGACCCCTAAAAGACAAACTACGTTACCCTGATAGCTAGCAGGTCGCGATTGGAATAGAGTACAGGTAGAAACTTTAGATGGTTGAAATGAATTAGCTACCCATGAAAAGGGCCTCCCCCTAACCTTGGGAGGTCGGAACGTTAACGGGATAATTAAAATAAAGACCTTGGGAGGATTACTGAGTGAACATAGCATGGTTTGGAGGTTGAGTTGAACTCGAGAGCTCAAGTTCACTGAGTTCAAGAATTAGTTGATTAGAATCGTATGACATTTGTTTGCTTGGTCAAATTGTGACAGCTACCGCATACCGGGTATCTAATAAGTGTGAAAAGATTGATAAAAAGAAACCGAAGTTGGCACGTGGCAGAGTTGACAGGGGGAGGGATATAGCCTTAAAAATGTGCGGACGGGTGATTTAGGTGGATGTCAGGACTGATAGGGAACGGCGTGACTTAAGTAAAACTAAGTGTAAAGAAAGATAAGGAATTGGAGGGTACCGGAGAGCATTTAAGAGTCAGAACAGTGTTAGCTACTACTAAGGGTAGTTGGTTCTCCTCAGAGAAGAGAACAGTTGGTAACTACTATTAAGGGTAGTTGGTTCTCGTCAGCGAAGAGAACAATTATTGCTATTGAGCAAGTTGCGCTGGAACCCGAGTTTAGTACCGGGTTGAAATAGTTGTGCGAGCGAGTTGCGCTTAAACCCGAGTTTAGTACCGGGTTGAACTAGTTGTGTCGCTGCTCTGCTAGAGTAGGCGAATTTTGAATCGAGTCAACCGAAACTGATGAGCAATTGAACAGAACGGGACGCGGGCTTCAATATAGAAGTTGCTAAATAGTAGTTAGCTCATTAGGGCACTGTAAATTGTTTTATTTTCTTCGCGATTGAGAATTTACTCAGTGTGCCCACGATTTGCTGAACTAGCTAGAAGCGTAAAAGGAGAGCCGAAAAGAGCCTAAATTAAGGGGGAAGTTGCGTAATCCTTTGACCGGCCGATTTAGTCTGACCACCAACATAACCCTTTCGGGATTGTGGATCATATCGTGTCTTAGTGTCCCCCGCTATTACACGGTATAAAGGGGAGAAACTCTGCGGCAGTTGAGTAGAGTGAAAACCTGCTTAGAGGAGACGACTCCCGGGAAAAGAATCTACAGTCTCAGGGTCATAAAAAAGTTGGTCTGAGTTTTATCGTTTCAGTCAGAATAAATTGCACCTGATGAATTCTGCTGTGAATAAGAGAAATGATGACTTTTTCTCTAATTATACTGCCTGTGCAATCCTTGAACAGTTTTTCGTTTTAATAATTTCTTTCGTTTTTGTAAAATCCTCTGCATTTTGAATTAATTTAGTTAATATAATGTGGGCTATTCATGTTCAACATAGTGGATTAATCAGATGTACTCAAAAGTGGCAAAAAAAATGTAAATGTCAAACTAGCCCCTGCCCCCCCCCCCCCCCTCTCAACAAAACATGGATTGGGTTTTTCGCTTTCAATAAGATGTGACTGTGCACTTCGGTCCCATTTTTCAGACTTTAGAGTTAGAATTTTTCGGACTTCTCTGATTTGAACTGTGCATCCAATAGCTGCTGCCCCTGCTTTGAAACACTCTTCTCCTCGCTCTAACAAAGGCTGCAGCTCCTTCTTACTAGGAGCTCGGAAGTAGAAAAGCAGCTCAGCCCTTTCCGGAACGATATTGGGCGCCTTCCCACCGTCAGTGAAAATTCCTAAAAAAATTATCACTACATTCTAACTATTTTTTATGTATGAGTGAACTATGCAAGAATTGTGGGTTCGATGCAACCTTTTTTTTTCAGGAGGACAAAGCTTCTGATTGTCAGTTATCTAAAATATGTTTCCTAAAATATCTATAGAATGATAGAACCAGATACATATGACCGTAATCATAATGATAACCTTTACCGTTTTCCTACTTTCACTCTTTCAGCTTGTTTTAGGTTTTCTGCTGTACAATTTCTTGAGAACGGGACATCGAACTTGCAAATTTTTGCTTTCAACGAGCAACGAGCAAATGAAAAAATTTTTCTTCACATTTTTATCTTTTTCTCTGCAACTACTAAAGATACCGGATTGAAACTTTGATACATGCTAGATGAAGATAATTGAAAAAGGCTAAGCCAATAAATTTTCAGAAATTTCATTTTGAGGGCGTAAAATAGCCAGTTAATCATAACTTGTTTCAGAGGTGCTCTTGCTCTGGAAACATTCTTAAAAAGAACACAAGGAATGTGAGCTTATGGGTTCAAATTGGTTCTTTGGGAAGCTGATGATCTTCAATTACTCTATATGTTACCTAAAAACCACAGATAAAGAAATTGAAAGAGTTCTTTCATCCGGCGTCGAAAAATAATCGTATCGGTTTTGACGATACAGAAAGTAAAAGGTCTTGGGCGCTAATATCAGAAAGTTAGACAAAAACTAGACACACCATAACTGCTTATAAGGCTCCTGTCACATCGGAGATCGGAGGTGATAGATTGGAGATGTCACTTTTCCCAACCATTTGCAGGAACAGTTTTTTTGTTTGCTTTTATGGATCATCAGCGCAAAAATACGAGTGAAGTTTTTTTTTCGACGCCGGACCAAGAAACTTTTTCATCCCCTCTGTTCAAGGTTTTTGCGCGGCTTATAGAGTAAAAGGAGATCATCAGCTTCCCAAAGATCCGAATTGAGCTTATAAAATCAATTTTTGCGCCCTTTTTGAGTATGTTTTCCAAAGCAAGAACATCTCTGAAAATAATAAAGATTATCTGGCTTTTTTACGCCCTCAAAACAAGATTTCTGAATTTTTAATTCCGTTAGCTCTTTTCAATTAGTTTCATCTAGCATTTGGCAAGTTTTCAATCAGATAGCTTCAAAATTTTCAGAGAAAAAGATAAAAACGTGGAAAAAAAACAAGTTTATTCGCTTGGTGAAAGCAACAAGTTGTAACTTCCATGTCCCGCGACAGTTTTACAACTTTCTTTACTGTTTTGTGACGCAATTTGCTTCTGTTTCTATAAATTCTCTTCTTCGAGTACTCGTTACAAAACTGCATAGAGTCTCTTTGTTCACAGGTCTTAAAACCGGTGATACACCAAAAAAATGAAGACTGGTAAGCAAAAAAATGAGCCGTGATGTTGTATAAATAAGAAGTCAGCTCAGCTCTCTTCTCACGCTGAGAGGTTTGTGTGTTAGTTAACAATTTTTTTATTACTGGAAAATGAAATTATTACGTTGTGAGCAAACCTTTTAGTCTAAAAACTTTCTTGAATTTTCAAGCTAGAAAGCCTGTTTCCAGTCCATTGCGAGGCCAAACTGTGCGTTCTATGATTTTTGAGCGGATTCCTCAAAAAATACGCTTCCCGGGTTGAGGTCCATACCAAGAATAATTCCTATCATACAATTTCATATATGGAGTCTATGCAAAAAAATGGTTATCATACAATTTTCAAATTGGTGACAATTTTGATTACATGAGAGAAAACTTGGCATCGAAAAATTTTTTTGATCAAACAAAGTGCTTGTCATACAGTTTCATATACAAAAATTGTATGCTATGCATTTTTTCATAGAAAAAAAATACAAGTTTGAGGAAAAAGTTTTGTCATTCTTTTTTGGGTTGCAAACTTGCTTATGTGCTCAAATATAATTCTTCGAAAAAAACTTGCTTGCAAAATTTGACTTTTTGGGCCTATAACGTAATCCAAGTTGAAAATTTCTAGCCAACTAGCCATTTTCTAGGTACAGAATCTATTGATTGGAGAGATTTGTACAGATTAGCAGCTCCGGAGCGCTAAGAAAGTTTTTAGTGTTTCGTTTTTTTGTAATTTATTTGAGGGTGAGTCTATTGCGTTGTAATAATACGAAAGAAATTTATCATTTTTTAGCAAGTCAATATGTTTCTTGATCTGAGTATTTGCTTCAGTAGCTTTTTGATATCCAAACAAGCTAATAATTTCTACATAGAAAATCTTCAGAAGAGTCTCTGCTCTTCCAAAATACTTTCATCTTTTCTGAAAAATGAAAATTGGGTTGAGTGCAGACTGACGACAAGAATTTTAATTGAGTGTACAGAGTGGCCAAAATGTTTACCACGCAACGTACCAAATTGCATCAAATTTAAGCAAATTACTCAAGTTTTAGATCAACCGTACAATTTCCCCCTATCCATATTTTATAGATTTATTACCTGCTTGGGGGAGGGAATTCTACGGTAGGTCTTTTAGGGAGTGGGGGAGTGTACAGTTGATCCAAGTTTCTATAGTGCTAAGGCAAAGAGAGTTTGGGTTTTAAATAGTATATAAGAATTTTATCTGAAGCTTATACGCTTGAAACGAGGTTCAATCTTGCTGTCAAAAGTTGTTTATCCAAAATCATTTTTTTTAATTTGGAAGCTCTCCGTTTTTTTCTTTTTCACAAAATATTTAGCTGCATTTAATATTTGACTGCATTATATTTGACGCATAAAATATTGCATTAAATCAATGTTACTTTAGAATAAATTTTCCACTTTTGGGAAAAGTGCCCATCGAACAGCCCTTTTATTTGTAGTCTTGGCAAAAAACTTTGAATTTGCTCAAAAATGGTTGGTAGTTTTTCGATTAATTTTCTGTATTTGACTCCTGCAAAACACCGCATTTGAAATTTTATTGTTTTTTCTCACTTTATTTCTTCAATTAGTTTAATTTCTCATTTTTTCCACAGTTCTTTTTCCTGAGTTAATTTCCTCAACATTTTTTTTCTCCTGAAGGTCTTATGTCACTATGAAAATACCATAAAATAGTTCATCTGGATACTTGCTACCATAAACAATAAGCTTATTCATGCAGAGAGAACTACCCGGGTTGACCTCCATAGACCGAAAAACCTACTCACACAACGCCATAAAATAAAGTCTATGAAAAAAATTAATCAAACTAATTTCATACAAGTTTGTCAAATTGACGTCAGCAAATTTTCAAAAAATTTTATTTTGTTTTTTCATAAAAGTCAGTAAAAAAAGTCTTTGAAAATTTGTCATTAATAAAAAACGAAGAACATTTTGTCAAAAAGAACGCTAATCATACAACTTTCACATATAAAAATTCTATGACCAGCATTTTTTGATAGCGACAAAAATTGTTCAAATTTGTTTCAAAAGTGCCCCAGTTTTTTTCAATCGCAAAATGAATTTTGTAGTCAAACAAACACTTTCCAAAAAAAATTTTTGCATGCAAAATTTTTTTAGTGCATAACGCAATCTTGTATACACAAAATTTAAGTTTTTACGCTTCTTAGGATGAAATTTTTCAAAAACGCTCAAAACATCTTTTTGTTTGTATAGCATGATTTTGTATGCCTTGCTCCAGGCATGATTAATTAAAATTCGAATTAAAAAAATCATCTTTAAAAATTTTAGCCAAAATTTCAAAATTTGATAATTTCATTAAATTATTTCTGTGAATCATATGTAAAACAATTCAGGTCTTTTAGTGACTCTACTTGTGAGTAACTAGGGTATTTTTCACAGTCCAGAAATTTCAAGAAAGTGCAATTTAAAAATCGTTTTTTTTCTTATGTTTATATAAAAATGCTAGCCATACAATTTCTATATATGAAAAATCAAACCATAGAATTTTTTCATGCACTTTTCTTGCGTTTATGGAATTGCATGAAAAGTGTATGAGTAGCATTTTTCCATTTATGAAACTTTTATGACTAGCGTTTTTAGTCAGCCCGAGTATTTCGGTAACACTTGCTGGTTTTGATTATCAGATGGTTCATGAGTACTATAAATATTTGGCAAAGCACCAACTGCCATTTGAACACGCCAAAAATACAAAAGTTATGTATTAGTGGTTTAATGTTTAACAGTTTTAAAAAACTACGAAAGTAAAACAAGTAATCCTGCGCATTTCCGTTTGCTTTAACTTCGGCTCATTTATTGTTCCGACTTTCGAAGAAAACGGAATACTTATGCTCGGGTGGTTTTTTTGGTCAGTCAATTTTCACCAATCGAAATAATAGTTTTCAAAATTTTTCTTTACCCCATTGAAGATATCGACGTCATGAGTTCAAATTTTAAACGATATTTTGCCTTCGATTCTTTTTTGTGAATTTCTGCAGGTTTGAAAGTTGCCAAATTGGCCATGCTATGGACTAAATTATGCGCGCTTTGAAGAATTTATTCATTCTGCTGAGAGCGTTAACGCAAACTGTTTATGTGTGGCAAATTATCACGCACAATAAAATCGTTCCAAACTGACATGAGGCTAGCTAAGTGTTCCTATTAATTTCGTACGACTCAAAACTTTACACTTTGACATTTTCCAAAATTTGTAGGTTTTCAATAATAACTTTTCCCAAAAAATATTCGATATGAATAAGACGACAGTCGGAACGTTCAAGATTTTGCCCTGATATACGAGCAGTCGTGTTTCACTCTGATTCAAATATCTCCTGAAAACTTTTAGTGGACAAGCTATAGATGTAATTCAGTATTTACTGAAAAGAAATATATTCCTCGAAACAAAAACAAATAATTGTTTCTGAGGGATGATTGGTTCGTGTAGATCATTTTTTTTCTGTGTATTTAGACTCATACTGACAACAAAATTGCTCGTATTAGGGCGATGACTTGAATTTTCAGACTGCCCTTTAAGGTTTATTGGATAGTGTTTGACCTTAAAAAACTATGAACATTTCAAAAAAGTGGAAAAGCTTCTGAATAAGTTTTTGGTTGGTATTATTTTGTGGAAAATCATACCCTCTCACGCTATTTCAATAACAAATTGATATATTTAGCATTTATTTATTAATACATTGCGCGTTTCTTTTGCCGATTTAGCCAAACAGAATATTTCTAAGCTCTCATTACTTGTCACAGGTGAAATTTTTATGAACTTGATTTGAGCTCACGACATCAAAAGTTTTCAGATGATATGAAAAAACCTGTTTGAAAATCGAAGTCTGTGTGGAGAAAAAGTCAGCCCGAGAACAAATGTTCCACCACTTTATCTTCAAAAGTCCGAACAAAGATTTGAGAAGAATTGATCAACGAACGATTGAAATAAAGACTCTGTCATGCTACCTTTTTAATCACGTTTGCCGTTACGATAATTAAAAAGATATTCATTAAGCCGATAAAGCCAATTTATGCTGTATAAACCTTGAACTAAAATGAGCAGCTTTTGCTAGAAAATAATGCCTTTCAAAAGAAAAAAAGGGGCAAAACTGTAAAAATCCCGATGGTTCGCATACTTCAATAGAAAGTAGTCGCCAAGGTTAACTTACAGAAATATATCACTGGTTCACGGGTTTTCTGTCCATGGAAGTCCATCTCTGGATTTATGTCTTTAAAAACAATAGCGTTGTTTTGTTCGTGCGTCGATAAGCTAAGATGAAACACCAAAAGTTAAGAGAGGATATCTTAGTTAAAAATTATTTTAAAAACTTTGAATTCTTGCCAGGGTTCCCTGACAGCTCCTTCCAGGGACTCCAGTTTTGCCCTGGAGTCTTAAAGTTCCTGGCAGGAAGTCTAAGTTTTTTCTCCTGGCTAGGTAACCCGGGTTGTCACAGTTGAATGGAAAACTAACCATGTGCACTCATGGAAGGATGCATCCAGTGTCTTAGTGCGTTGATGTTAGTGTAAGCTAGCACTGCAGCGTCAAGTGCATTCCGACCGAGCCAAGGGGTTGTCCCGTGCGCATTTTTCCCTGCCAACGACAATTGTTTTTTAACGGACTTCATTAATATGACATAAAAAAGGGATACCATCCAGATTAATGTACAGGGTTTTGATGGTTTTGAATCTTCTTTATCTCTTACCAGCTTTAATATATATCAGCTAGAGAAAAGATGATAGATACAAGAATCAAATATCACAATTTACAAACAATTTTGTGTTTCCCTAAATAACTGAAAAACGAAAAACAAAAAAATGAGAGTAAATGGCAAACAAAAACTTATCGGCCGCTCAAGATCCTAGTTTTACTTTGTAACAACTATGGTCCTAAATTGGCAAAAAGAGTGATTTTCCCGGGACAATAAACGTTCAAGACTCAAGGTAAGTTTTGACATCTTATACCAAAAATTTGTGAGAATAGGCAGAATGAAATGAAGAAACCAGAAGATGCAACTAGAAAAGGAAAGAAAAACTGATTTCCATGTATGAGCTAGATTTAGATAAATAAAGATATTTGAAATGAAAAGATTTGACAAAATAAGATTTGTTTCAGCTTTGTCGTTTCTTTTGTCTCTAATTCTGCATGACATTTATATAAAATCAGTAATCACTCTAATTTTAAAGTCTTTTAAAGACATCGGAAAAAAGTTTCTACACCAATTAATTTAATGTTTACAGGGACGAAAATTAAGCAAATGGAAAAATTTGCGTTTTCTAGAAGCTGTATGGCATTCAGTGTCTGCACAAGCTGTTTCTGAACCGGTTATGAGTTTTTTCATAATGCGCACAAAAAAAAACAAAACATTTCTTTTATTATAAAAGAAACTTTATTTACGCCAATTGCTGATAGTGATTGGATCTATACTAATAAAAATGGTAGTTAGGATCAGTTTGAGTATGAAAAAAAAGTTTGTAGGTTTATTTGACATTGATTTTGTTATGAGAAGTACGAAGATTAAACAGAAAAGGTTCATATTGCTATGAATATATTTTAAATCCATTCAATTTGATCTTAAATCCTAGATAAAAAATCAATCCAAATCAGTTTTAAATCAAGATAAACCCATTGTTTTTGTCATAATTTTTTTGTGTTTTAGGAGGTTTAAAACGTCTTAAGTTGACATAGGTCATTTTTTTTTCAATTAATCTCGATCAGTTTTGAGTTTGTGTTGCATTTATTCAACGCCCAAAATTTTCGTTTTACATCCATTGATAACTTTTTGCACATTTTGATTTGTTGCTATTTGCTTGCACATTTTGAGCTATAAATTTGATCTACATTGACCATTACTTGATTGATTACCTAAGTTTTTGCCCAAAATTTGATTTACAAGGATAGTTTTTGATATTTTTTTGTTAGTTTTTGAGATGAAAATGTCATTTATTATTACTTTTTCTTAATTATGTTTTTAATTAGCATGTTTTTTGGACGTGTTAGCAAAAAAAAACAATTTAAATTGGGATTTGAGAGGGATTTTTAGACACATAAATTGGTCTGCTCATGGTCATTTAAAAAGGATTTAAATGGGTTTTAGTGAGATTCAGATTAAGCCAATCCAAGTATTTCTAGAAAGATTTAAATCGATTCACAGCCCATTTTAGTTCCTAAAGTGTGCATTTTTAACCAATTTGGATCCATTTAACTTTGATTTAAAATCAATTTAAATAGATCCGAAACCATTTTTGTCAGTGCGGGTAGTAGAGCACAATTGAGTTTTGTGATAAAACAAGAAGTCTTCATCCTCCTTTTTCAGCTTGTTCGCTTGTTTCAATTGCTCAAAGTTAAACTCAAAATTATAAATGACAAATTGATTTTTTTTCACCACAGAAAACTTTTAGAACATTTTAAAAAAGATTTCGAATGGCGGGTGAAAGTGCTGTAAATAGTTATATTAATTTGTGGTATCTTATTTTGCGTGGATCGGAACAATAAGTGAAGGTGAACTGAAACTGACTGATATCACACTTCAACCTTGCAAACCAGTTCCGACGTAAATGGCACTTATGTAATCTTTGCTGGCCTGCCGACCACTCATTTTCAGTTTGTCGATAGAGAAAGCTAAGTTCATCAGTGCTGCATCAAACACATAAAGAATCAGAAGCTTAACTCAGTCAGATTGGAAATAAATCATCTCTATAATCTGCGGCATTGATTTGCAGAAACGCTTGCAAATCATCCTCCAATTTGAAATAATTTCCAGCATTTACAAATATGCAGTCTCAAAACTCTCGGTTACTGGATCTAGCAACATTCTGCCCTCAGTATCTCACCAAAAAATAAAATAATGAATCAGGGGCAAAACGAGTGAAGGTAAAACAACCATTCATTATAAGAGGAGCGAAACGTACCACTATCTGATTTGTCAAACAATCTAGACGCAGAAAACCTAGAGAACTATTAAGACAAGACAAGACAAGACAAGACTGCTCGCAGCAGGGAGAAGCCCTAAGTGTTCTGTCTACCATTTTTTGCCTATTATCTCGTACAAAAAGTAGCATAATGAATATAGAAAACAAGTCTAAATGTGTGAAGGACAAAATTTGCCGCTAAAATTAGTAAGGGTGAAACGTGCTGAGTATTGAATAGCCCAGAATGAAAAAAAAACCCAGAGAACCAAAACGACAAAATTTGCTTAAACCACAACAAAACTGCTCGTATCAATTTGAAGCCTTGAATTTTCCCATTGCCTATTATTGTCATAGAAAAATTTTTTAATTAGGAAATGAAGAAATTTTTAAAAATTAAAACATTTTTGAAAAAAATCATTGGTAATTATTACCACCACACTATCTGAAGCACGAAGTGATAAACTTTACCTCCAATATCATATTTACAAGACCGAGTAGCTCGCCTAAATCTGATTTGCAATGATTTTCTACCTGGATTATTTCACCGCCTACGGGTTAATATATGGTGCGTTAATTACCTCCAATTGGTCAAAGTGCAATTTTCAAAGGCACACCCATAACTTCACGTAAAATTGTTGCTGGTTTTTAATTTTCTCCTCAAGGCACTGATAATTTTCAAATAAAAAGGGCGTATTCAAAAGCGTCAATTTAAACTAAATAGAGTACAACTGTTCGTAATTTTCTTTGAACTGGGACATAGCACGACTTCTCCGGGTACATAAAATGTGCGAAAACACCTTTTTGCTTCAAATTATGAAAAATTTTCCGAGTAGTTGCAGCGGAAAACCCGGATGAAGTGGTCTTTTTTTCGTATGTCAACTGCGCCAGTTTCGACGTTGAAAGAACATTTGCAGCTGTTTGGCCAAAACTTACATAGCGGCACAATGAGTAAAAAAAAGGTAGAAAAATATTCTTCTTTAAGAGCAATACAAAGTTCGGAACGTTCAGTGTTCACAATTTGCTGGAAATTAGAATTTAGAAATCAAAAGAAGAACTTTGCTGAGACTACAGTTTTAAACTACCCATTTGCTGAGACTACCAATAGTAGAGCCAAAAACAAAAACACGACTGTTTACATTCGGTTGGGAATGAAACATAATTAATGGTAAAAAAGCCATAGATCAAATTAACCATAAAATGTAGCTCTGAGCCTCTTGATGCACTGTGTGATTGAATTTAGACACATTGTACGTGACTCGGGATGAGACATGAGCGCCATATCCAACCCCTCCAGAGCACCCTTTTTCTTCAGCCAGATCTTCCCTCCCCCACCCTCTTCCCCGGGAGACCCGAGCAGAACCACACGAACCACAGTGCCAATTTCGTCCAAAGCAACTATTAACTGCAGAAGATAAAATTGAGGTATTTTATGAAACAAATTTAGAACAAGTTTCACATAAATACCGTTATTATTTGCAGTGAAACAGCTTGAGACGAATGACCGTAATCAACCCAAAAATTACCCAGAAATCTTTTAGTTTTTGATAAATTTTAGAAACTTTCAATTAACTTGACAACAAAACATTGACAAAAAAATATATGAGGGTTATATCAAAAGCTTAAGAAAAATGGGACATAATTAAGAGTTTTGTGATCGAAACAAATGCATCAGTATACCACATAAAAACACTAAATTAGCTCGGCAATTGCTTGACCCCCTGCCGACCCAAAGGGATTCGACCCCCTGCCGGCCCAAAGGGTCCCCCCTTTTTACTACTTTGCGACATCCATATATGGTGACGGATCCTAAAAGTTCCATATTTGGAGGCGGATCCGCCGTTATATATACTAATTTTGAGGGGGGAGCGTGCGCCAAAAAAAATGCAATTTTTGTTTAAAATTTTCCAAAAAGTGCCTATAAACGTTGTTTTTGTTTGGTTTGATTTTTTCGAAATTTTTTTAAAAAACCGCCTCACTCGAGAATATTTTAGATCCGCCTCAGTTTTTAGTAGATTAATTATGTTTATTATTGTTCGGAATTTCGAAGAAAGAGGAATAAATATGCCAGTGGTGGTTTTTTTAATCAGACCGATTTTAGAAAAGTTGACTGCATATGCGCATCAATTCGGAAATCTTGGGATTGACAGGCGAGTATGCTTGCACTAGAAAAAAGTGCGGTTTTGCTGTTATGAAAAATACTTTGATGGTTTGTCTCAATACATTAATTATTTATGCGTGGCAAATTATCCGCACTCATAATCGTTCCAAAGTTGAATTGATGCAAGCTAATTGGTCTTTATTACTTTCATGAACGATTAAAATTTAACACTTTGATCAGACTTAATTTTGTAGTTTGTGAAGATTTCATATAATGAAAACGATTTGAAACCAATTAAAGGGCAGTCAGAAAATTCAGGGAATTGCCCTGATACGAGCACTCTTGTTATCACGCACTCATAATCGTTCCAAAATTAAATGAGGCAAATATATTGACCATATCAAATCCATTCAAATTTTAGCACCTTTTGATTGATATTGGCAGTCCAAGTTCAAAGATTTTGCCCTGATGTATAATGGCCTTCGTCTTGGGATTTCCAATTTTGAAGAAATGATATTATATTTCCGCTCGATGTGATTTTTTCGGACAAAATTCGATTCTTCAACTAGCCACTTTTAAACTGAGTTTTTCATACCATTTGAAACTTTTTGACGTCTTGAGCTCAATTAAAAACATATGTTTACTGGTGATTTTTTTCCGAAAAACTATGGTGGTTTGAAAACTGGCAGCTTGGCGAAATTAGGACAATTATCGCGCGATATATTTTGTTTTTATAATGCGTTAGCCTAATCCGGCTCAGAAATCATGCCAAATTGATATTATCATGCCAAATTATCATGCTCAGAAATCATGCCAAATTATCATGCTCAGAAATCATGCCAAATTAAGATAATTTGTCAGAGGACGATTTTTAAATTTAAAAAAAAAACATTTACAAATTTTCTTATTTTTTCCTACTTCTTAAGAAAAGATAAAATTAATTTCTTTTAAAAATGTCTTGGTTTTTGGATTTTGAGGGGCAGTTTGAGCATTTATGGTTTTGCCTTGATACGAACAATCTTGTTCAGTGTCAACTGCTATTTGGATTTAAAACACTTTTAGTACATTTGAGTCTTTTTCTTTCTCTAAACACGCATCCAACTATTCAAATTTTCCGATCACACAATTATCAGTTCAATCAATGCAATGCTCTGATCTCCATATTTTTTCAGTACTTTTTAAAATTATGAGTAAAATCAAAGCTTCCTTTGAAAAAAAAACTTTTTTGCGTAACAATTCTGCGAAAAAACTATTACAGATATTTAAAAAAACAATACAAATCATGAGAATGACCAACAAACAAATGAAGAAAAAATAGGACCATGGTATTATTCTTACTTCTGCAGTCAGTGATTTTTTTTCTCGAGCATTTTGTGTCTACTTTTTGCAATTGGAAAAAAATATCGCTACATATATAAGAATCTTTACTAGGGTAATTGATCATTTCACCTCCAATTTCACCTACCATTCCACCTATCAGTTCAATCAAAGCAATGCTCTGATCTCCATATTTTTTCAGTACTTTTTAAAATTATGAGTAAAATCAAAGCTTCCTTTGAAAAAAACTTTTTTGCGTAATAATTCTGCGAAAAAACGATTACAGATATTAAAAAAAAAAAAAACAAATCATGAAAATGACCAACAAAAAAATGAAGAAAAAATAGGACCATGGTATTATTCTTACTTCTGCAGTCTGTGATTTTTTTTCTCGAGCATTTTGTGTCTACTTTTTGCAATTGGAAAAAAATATCACTACATATATAAGAATCTTTACTAGGGTAATTGATCATTTCACCTCCAATTCCACCTACCATTCCACCTATCAGCTCAATCAATGCAATGCTCTGATCTCCATATTTTTTCAGTACTTTTTAAAATTATGAGTAAAATCAAAGCTTCCTTTGAAAAAAACTTTTTTGCGTAATAATTCTGCGAAAAAACTATTACAGATATTAAAAAAAAACAATACAAATCATGAAAATGACCAACAAAAAAAAAGAAGAAAAAATAGGACCATGGTATTATTCTTACTTCTGCAGTCTGTGATTTTTTTCTCGAGTATTTTGTGTCTACTTTTTGCAATTGGAAAAAAAAATATCACTACATATATAAGAATCTTTACTAGGGTAATTGATCATTTCACCTCCAATTCCACCTACCATTAAGGCAAGAATTGCTGAAAATTGAAATGCTTTTTGTCCAAAATGCGTCAAAGGTATCCGAAACGCAGTTTATCCAAAATGCCAAAATTTATTCGTTTTTTCGAACATTCCTGATTGATACATAAAAGTCTATGAGATTGAGCAAAAGCATCATCCGGAAAACCGTTCTTAAATTCAATTGATGCGGAGAACGGAGTGACGGTTTGCGACAAAAAACTCGTGGAAAGGCTTCTTGTCAGCAAACAGGGAACGAAATTTTTTTCGGCAAACTGGGAATCCGGCTATGTGGCACGCCAGTGAGTCCACTAACACTATTGGCAAACAATTGGCTTGTGTTTTTCGTGAGCTTTTTTTAAATTATTAATCCAGATTTGAAACTTTGAGCCAAATAGAAAATTCACTTATATGACGATACGAATTGATTGCATCTAATTATGTGGCCTCTAATATTGAAATTAAGAAAAACAACCAGAGGCGGTCTGACCTTGAGAAAAGCGGCAACTCCGACTACTGCGATCAGATTGTGTCCACAAGCATGTCCAATTCCAGGGAGTGCGTCGTACTCGCTAAAGAATGCTACACAAGGAGTTTCAGTCTCGTTAGTGTCTTTGCTGCCTTTGCCAGTTAAATATTCAACTGAAATATGAAAACAGGTTGAACTTGCTAGATTAAAAATGTTTTTCCAGCAAATTTAATTTATGGAAATCTGATCATGCTGTTTTAATACATTTAAAAAAAACTTGAAAACGAATGGAATTCGAAGATCAGCTTTCAGCTTTTTTGGTCCACTCTTTGGAATTGTATGATATGATTTTGTCAAGCCGGGTTACAGGAGCGGATCTAAGATTTACTTGAAAGAGGAGACAGTAATTTCTTAACCTTTTTCTAGGTCGTCCAACTTTGTTCTTTAAGCTCTCCCAAAAAACCAGGGCCTTATTTTGGCAAAAACTGAAGTTTCCCTCTGAAGAAAAACTGAAGAAATTGGTATATTATGGAGATATCGATAGGGCCATTTAGAAATTTTACGATTGGTCGGCCAAAAAAAGATGCCTTAAAATAGTAACAAAGGGCTCGAATACTTGATTAAGGGCATCCGCACCCCCTCTCACCTTCTCAACTCCGCTACTGCCCGTTTGTGACAATTATCGAGAAACTATTTCTAATTTTGATGCATTCAAATAAGAAAAAGACTCAGAAATTATCAAATAGTGATCAAAAACTGTTCAATTCTCGTCAGCAACTCCGCATATTGTTTCTAAAAAAATCCAAAAAAATAGCAGCTGAAGAGTTGAACTAGATCCCACATAATGATTGAGGTCAAATTAATTAAGATGAGGTCAACCTTTGAAAGCAGTTTCGAGTAAGTAGTTCTTTGTCACAGTCCCAATGCCAGCCTCAACGAAGAAGTCAGTTATGGCATTGTGTGCAACCCGCTCTTCAAAGGCCAATTCCGGGTTATGCCAAATCGTGTCTGATAAATCGTGCAGTTCTTTCTGATGACGTTCGAAAAGGTCAGAAGTCATCAGCAGCAACGAGTTTCAGGCCAGATCTTTCTTTCAGATACGATTAATCGCTTAACTTAATTGATAAAAACAAATCAATTTAGATCATATTGATTATTTCAATGTGACAAATAACTATTGAAGTTTAAATTATTAATCCATAATCTATGGCAAGGAGATCCCAGACTTCGTGAATTACATTTGTAAGTTGCAAATCAGTAAGCGGACACTCTAGTAAACAGACTTAATTGGTTCAAAAATTTAGCGGATTAATATTTCAATGAAAAGCATTGCTTTAACGCCAAAAAATTTATATCAAACAGCACACAAAAAGAATGAATACAGAAACTAACACAGAAATGAGCGGCCTACATTGTAAAAAAAGTGCACTTTGGCTGAAACGCAAACGGTGCTTGTGTTTTAAATATAAAAAACGGCTCAAATCATCTTTTTACTTGTTAGATAATAACGCACGCTGTTAAATTTTACCTTTGGTGAGACAAAAACAAAAAATACATAACAATGGACAGCCGGTTAGTGCGCAAAAAGCACAAAATGCTTCGACCAAGGTCTTGAAAAAATATGTTTTTTTTTGCAATTAAAAGTCGTTTTTTTTTCTGTGTGATTTGATAAAAAGATTTGAACGAAAAAATATGAGTGGCATATATGACAGACATAATCAAATAGATTAAATAGAAAGCAATTTTTTTTGTAGAAAATGACTAAAAACGGAATGAATGGTAAAAAAACTTGAAAAAATTTCATTAATTTTTTTAAAGTTGCTTACAGAATTTTCTTTCAAATTTTTGAAGTTTTTGATGCCCAAAATGGCGCTTAATAAATCCAAAAACTAACTTTAGTTGAGTAAAATTAATTTTTCACAGCCTAAGTTAAGCCTAAACAAGATATTCTGAGACTGCACGCTACGCTCACTTTACCAGCTCGAAATTAGACCAAAAATAAAAAAAACCGCAAACTGTTTTTTCTCAACAAAAATTTTTTTTAAATTTTTTAAAATTTTGCTCGAATCACAACTGAAATAGCCTTAATTTGACATATAACTCGAATCACTTCAAAGATTGTTTGTTGTGTTTGATTTTGCGTGGAACAAAAAAGGAAAAAAACAAAAGGCACCCGAATACAAAATTCTCCACATTTTTCAAATGGCCGGGAAAATGAGAAATATGTTCCAGGAAAAAGCGATAACCTTTAGGGAAAAACTACGCAAAACTATTTCTTGTAATTGAGCTCAAAAATGTTGATCAGAAAACTTTCCCTATTTCAATCGTCTATTTTTCTGATTCAATTGCAAGTTTAGGAGGTGGATCGAGGATAGTGTTTATATCTTTAGTTAACTCGAAAATAATAAATGCAAGAAATGGTTTCAATTTTGATCAAAAACCAAAAAGAAAATTATATCCACGATTTTTTCAGTTAGTTGCAATCACTAAATTTAGAGCTTTCTATTGAAAATCTCACGTCACTATCCAATTACTTCATCTAAATTTCCAGGTCAAATAAAACATTTAAAAACAAATTTGGTGAAAAGTTAAAAATTCAAAGAAAAAATTGACATAAAATTAACAGCTGAAAATATAACTTTAAAGCACTTCAAAACTAATAAACCCGTCAGAATTTATGTGCAACCCGCTCTTCAAAGGCCAATTCCGGGTTATGCCAAATCGTGTCTGATAAATCACGCAGTTCTTTCTGATGACGTTCGAAAAGGTCAGAAGTCATCAGCAGCAACGAGTTTCAGGTCAGATCTTACTTTCAGATACGATTAATCGCTTAACTTAATTGATAAAAACGAGTCAATTTAGATCGAATTGATTATTTTATTGTGACAAATAACTATTGAAGTTTAAATTATTAATCCATAATCTTGGAGAAGAGTCAATGAACGCAGGAATTCAGAAGAAAAAAATTGACTTGTTTTTTGAAAAAAAAACTCAACTTTTGAAATAAAAAACATTTTGCCGTAAAATTCTTTGAACTTCAAGAACAGTTTATGATTGACATTTTTGAAAATAAACGAATTTAATTTCACAGATCTGTAATGTTAAGTAAAATTTTATTTCCGCTGAGAAAGTTAAGTCCCCCTTTTGAAAACAGAAATCAATCACATTTTTTTGAGCCAATTTCAAATTTATGTTTGAATAGCTCAATTTGAATGCCTTTTAGCAGATTAATTTCAAGCTCAAAAATTGCTTATACGTCTTAGTGTATTTATAAAAACGTTCATTGATTCGTAATAACTCCTTAGGCATTAACCTACAACCAATAACAACAAAAATTTCTCTTGAAATTGTTTTGAATCCTGCATTCAGAATATCATGAAACGAAAACCGAAACATTTTAGGTTAAAACAAGCCGCCGAAATCTGCCTTAGCAAGAAAAAATAATTTTACCTAACTCAAGTGATTACAATGCTACTGGAAGTCTAGAAGTTTTTACGAGTAATGCAGTAGTCTCGTCGCAACAACACTTGTTGCACAGCTGTGAAAAATTTCAGAAAAATTAAAAAACAATTAAAGCTTTTATCAGAAGTGTTACTTTTAGGAACTTGAAGCCAACTATCTTAACTGATGGCAAATTGTTGTTGAGCTCAAGGAGAACTGAAAACGATAGCAGTTTTCTGAAAAAGATTCCGACTGGTAAAGTGTAAGAGAATGAGGAAACCGCAAAAACATAGATTGAAAACTTTTGAGCATTTTTCAATTTTCGGAGAAAAAATATCACGTTGAAACTTGCTCAACTTGTTGTCAGTTTAACAAAGGAACAAAAATGAACTGTATAAAAAAATCAGTGGTCAAAACGCTTTAAATCAAGTTTTAGCAATAACAAAAACTTTTAGTTTTTCGGTTGAAAAGACAAAAAATATCAAGACCAATCTAATTGAAAAATGGCTCATTCTGTTAAACTGAACAAATACTAAATTGAAGCTCCAAATGAACTTCATCGATCTTTACTAATTGATTTTACTCAATAATGATAACCCAATGACCAAACTCGATCAATAAGTAATTTTTTTTATTCCATTTTGTAATCTAAAACTCTACTTTCTTGAAGTAGAATTTCTCAACGTTTCTCCCCGTCATTTGAATTTTAAATTTAGTATTTGAGGGCGGAATTTGCCTTTCTTTCAGTAAATGAATGAATTAAATTTTTTTTAAAAAGCCGAAATCGTTTGATTTCGCTTCCATTTCAAATTACATTTGAGCAAACTGGATCAATTAAATAATTTCATATTGTTTTGAAATCCGAAAATCTATTTTCTTGAATTAGAATTCATTTACCTTTTTTCGCATCATCTGTTATTCAAGGGTGGAAATTGCCTTCTTTTTTCAGCAAATTCAATTCAAACTCAATTGCTGAAAGGAAAGCAAACTCTTGTCTCGGATAAGTAAAATTCAAAGTCCTGGAAAACCGTTAAGGAGTTCTTTTTTACAAAGTTTTTAATCATATTTTTTGAGTTTGAAGCAATTCTAAGTATCTCCCTAAGAAAAAAAAACAAAAGAAAAAATAGCAAGACGACCGATAGGAGTTTCGCAGCTACACCACTTGACTTAAACATGGCCAGCAACAAGTGAAAGAGACATTCAAGAAATCAGACTGTTTTATGCAAACACTTTCTGAACAAAAAATTAGAAGTATGTTGGTCCTAATGGAATTCTTGTAATTTTTTCTATTTGTTATAGTCGTCCAAGAATGTTCTATGAGCAGCGAAAAAATGTTTTGAAACTAAATTTCAATTCAATGTAAGACAGACTACTGGTACATATTCAAGAATACCTTTTGTAAATTCGAATATACATAAATAATGCGTGAAATAAAACATTTCATTAAAAATTTGGAATATTGAGTATGACAATAAAACTCTGAAATCTTTGATTTACAGATTATTTGCTATATAAAGCACAAAAATGTACACATTTAACCATGACTTAGTTTGTCGCACAGAAGCATAGATTAAGATTTTAACAATTGCACAAATTCAGCATCAGCATTTGATATATTTGGAAAATCTCGTGTTTTCTACATCTATTAGGAGTAAAAGTAAAGCATACGATAAATTCATTTTTGAATCACAATGGTACTTATTTTTACATTCATCTCAACTCAGATATCACGGCGCATTTTGATGCAATTCGGACGTTTAGGTGAAATAACATTGGATGGAGTCTGATGAAAGATTTACAGTGGAAATGAAAGACAGACGGTTGAAAAGTGTTAATGATGTAAAAAAAAAACATGCACTTTTGCAAAATTTAGTGATTTTAAATTTTTCGTTGATAAAACTCAAACTCACATTTGAAGCTAAAAAGATACATTTTTGCATTGTTTTCACTATCCTGATAATAGAATATTATTTGCGCTCTGGGAGTGGGAATGAAGTAGCCATTTGTGAACCAAAAACCATACGATCAGATTTGGCAATTTATCACATTATATGGTCCATTAACACTTTAAAGAAGGAGGGCAGAAAACAGAAAAGAAGAGTATAAAAGTGTGATCATATGAATAGATTCTTGCATTCAGTGACGACTACGATCCCTACTAGCACTGAGTTTCTATAGTCTTGTTTATAGTTTTCACATTGCAATACAATGATGTGTCTTCTTCTTTTTCGAGACATTTAGATACTCTCATGATTCAGAATTGTTTAAATTTGGATTTGAACACTGTCTGGGTTATGTCTGGTCGATGATGCACTGTATGGATGTGGAGCTCATCAACTTCTGATTGCATTTTATCAGAATAACGAGATGAAAGATCACAGACTAGTGCTGAAGTTTTGCCAGTTCGCCACTCAACATGTCGACGTCCTAAAGATACAAACATAGAAAACAGACAGTTGGAAAAAAAATCAATGACCTGGAGGCATCCCAAAACAAAAGATTGACTACTTATCGTTATATATTATTGACATTTACCAACTTACACGATACTCATACGCACGCAAAATATATCACTTTCAAACTCTTTTAAATTCAAGTATTTTTACGGTTTTAACTTTTTTAAAATACAACTAAGCCAATTAGAGGCAACTGGGTCAAAAAGTAACTTTTTTTTTACTCCAATGGGAAACCTAATAAATGAAATTCAACTTAGAAACTGAAAGTCAACAACGGTCACGCATTTTTTGCGCTTGTTACACTTTCGTTATTAGCAATCTTTTTTGCCTTTCTTTTTTAGCAAACAAATTTGAACTGAAAAAAAAATGAACCCGCCAAATTCCAAACTTGAGCGTGAACAATTTTCAAAATTTATTCCTACCTTACAAACGAAGTTTTATTTGGTAAAAACTCAAGCTAAGCTGGGGAGATTAGAGGTAGAAGAGCCAACGAAGTTGAGTAGTTATTTAATCCAAGAATTCATTTCTGCAAGTGAAAAAAAACAGACTAGCCTTCTGTAGCTGTATGTTTTTGGTCAATGTCTCCTCCAGCATGTTCTGCAGTCGCTTGTTCACATCTCTGCTGCTCAACTCATCCTGCTTGATGAACTCCCTCATTCTGTTCTTCAGACCCTGCTTCAACATCTGCCCTGTGAGGGGCTGTTGTTGTTGTTGTTGTTGGTTTGTGGATTCCGCTGAGAAATTGTTGGTGGAACTGGAGGGCGAACAGGTGCGATCTGGAAACATTTAATGGAAAAAAGGCCATTACTTCAGACCAATTTTTGTCATTCAGTTTTCAAAGTGTAATTTAACAGTGTAAGATAACAGATCCTTCGCAGTTTTTGCCATACAACTTTCTGAAGTATAACATGGAACAAGATTTCTTCTCTCATTTGAAAAAAAAACGACTGATCCTTGTGTACAAAAAGCCGTCTTTGTTAAAATTTGGAAATGAGGAACTTACAGTGCTTGTTGCTTGGGCAGGTGAAAAGAAGTGAAGCTTACTGCTTACCTATGTGTCCTTTCTCAATGATGTAGTTCTCTATGATGCGAGACTTCTCTATTAGGTCATCCGACAAGCTAGCACAGTTCGTCTCCAGATGAGACAGCTTAAATAAATCATCAAAAATTTCAACTCAGACAAGTATAACAAAGATGGAATGAAAAGATGGAATTCTAGAAAACAGAAAGAAAACTAAATTTAATTGTCAATTATAGAACAAAATTGTATGATTACCATTTTTTGGTAAAATTAGCTTACTTTAAAAGACAATGTTCACGAATAAAACAATTACGTTATGAGATAGATTATTGCAGAAACCTCAAAAAATCTCACCTTTTCTTCTAGCATCCATTTCTCTTGCTGCAAATCTGCAATTCTGTCGAACAGATGCTGGATATCTTCAGCAGCACAGCCATTGGCGATTTGTGATTGGCTGAAAGTTGGCACGCCATCTTGCGCCGAATGTGCAGCATTGGCAGTAGACTGTGATTGGTAGTTTGGTGAAGCAGTAAATGGCAAATCACTCAGTTGTCCGAAACTTGAGACGCTCAAAGAGTCACCATCGCCTCCTGCTCCCAGAGCACTATTTGAGTACTTAGCGGGGGACACTGACAAATATACATCATCATACCCCGTTTTAATTGAGTCTAATTTTGGCGCATTTGAGAGAAAATCTTTCAGTTTGGCTTCTAATTTGTCCGCTCTTTGTTTTTCCTGTTTGGCAACTTTTTGGATATCTTTCAGTTTCACCACTAGTTTCTGTTCGCCTATTCTCCGCTCCTCGACCTTGTCCAGAACTTGTTGTTCTAGATCACTGATTCTGGCAGAAGATTTCTTCATAGCACCGCCTTGGATCTCCAAGTCTTTCTTCAAATCTTCTATCTGTTTTTTCAATTCCTGAAAGAAAGACGATAACCACTTAGATCTTAAGGAGCATGCAGAAAGGACATTGCAAAGAAACAATGGGAAAAGGGTCAATAAACTCAGAAAAACATTAAAAGTTAAAAAAAAACATTGCCAACTGACAGTTGGAAGCGTAATGAACGCAAGGAAACTTGGAAAAAAAATCGACTTGTTTTTCCTAAAATGTTCAACTTTTGAATTTCGAACAAAAAAATTGATGGCCTTAAAGCTCTTTGAATTTGTAGAACAATTTCTGATGCACACTTTTTTGTTTAAATTAACCCAATTTGGGAAAACTGGATCAATGGGTAAAGCTTTTATTTCGCTGGGAAATCTGATAATTAATTTTCGAAATTATAAGTCGATCACGTTTTTCGTGACCTTTACACTTTTGCAGTTCGATAGTGAGTTCGCCTTCCTTTTAACAATGGAAATGCACTGAACTTGAAAAGAAATCACAAGTCAAACCGCGAAAAATCAAAATTGAGCATGAACAAATTTTAAGACTTTTACTGAAGAAAAAAACAAAAGAAATCAGCAAGACCTATATAAGAGTCTTCACTACGTTCATTACTCTTAAAAATGAACTTTCGATATTCAAAGACAAAAATATATATCATGATGAATGTCTCACAATTTCCTGTTTTTGTTCAACATTTTTTTTTTCATGAAACTAGTCTAATTAGAGAAATTCGGTCAATAGGTAATTTTTTTTTCTTTTCAAAAAAATCCAAAACGTTTCCTCGACATCGAGAAATTTTTTGGTTTAGTCCAATTTGGAGCGAGTAAAATGGGCGAGTCCAGTCAAAAAGCTTTTAATTAAGCTATAACTTAGCTTTTAGGTGCAGACAACTTCGAAGTTTCATTTAGCCCTTCGCCACAAACAAAACTTAATAATTCTAAAAAACGATATTGAAAAAAAATTGTTTTATGAATTTTTCTCAGGAAAATTACTTTGCTTTTGTTTTTCGTGTAAAATATAAGTAAGTTCAATTGAAGCTCATTCTACGGTGTTAGTAAACTTTTCAAACTAGACTCAGAAATCATTCAAATTTGAAAAAAAAAATAACAGGCGAAGCTGCAGCTTCGCAAACACGGGCGAGAAAGCTGCAAAGATTCAAGAGCTTTCAAACTCACAAACATAGCCAACATACAGTTGAAAAAAAGTCAATAAAAAAAATCTCAAAAAAAATAGATGCCCTTAAAGCTCTTCGAATTTCCAGAACAATTTATCATTGCCACTTTTTCGATAAAATTAACCCATTTGAGAATGTTTTTGGTATTTAGTGACAGCTTATCAGCCTCAAATCTGGTCTTTTGACCTTTATCATTTACGTGTCAACCCTATTATAGCTTTCAAATTCCATTTGATAATATTAGCAAAACACTAACTTTACACGTAGTTGAATGCTGTGTCTCTAAAGCTGATACTTTTACTTCCAACTCGCTTGTTACTGCGCTTAACTTCTCCTCACAGGAGCTCAAATTCGTTCTCAGTTCCGCATTCTGACGTTTCAGTTGATCCAATACACCCGACAACGCACTGTTCTCTTCGGTCAACTTGTGCATTTGCGCCTCCAGTTCGCAGTTTTGCAGCTGGCATAGTTTCAGTTCTTCTCTCAGCTGGGACTCATTGTGAATTGCACTTTTGTGTTCTGCTTTCAATTGCTCCACACTCTTCTGACACTGTGTTGCGATGTCTTCCATCATGTTTTTACGCTTTTCCGCCAACTGAAACAACTTTCTTTTTATATCTAATCAATTAGTCCTTTTCTTTAAATCTAATTCATTCCGTTAAAAAATTATTGAGTTAGACGGTAAATTGGCTTTGTTCTTTATTTGAACAAATTTTCTTTTTTTAAATTGATTTTCGGAAATGAATTTTGTGATGCTTCAGTCACAAATTAAGCTTGAATGGTTCAAGTATCTGCAAAACATTCTTGGTTAGAAAAATAGTATTTTGATAAATTACCGCTGATGCCTCTTCTAGAGATGTTTCGAGTTGTCGTATTTTGGCAAAGTTTTTCCCATTTTCTGCAGTCAAGTTTCCCACTGACAGTTTCATGTCCTACAAAGAGAAATTCAGTTAAAATATTTACTGGATAAACATACCCAACATACAAGACGCGGGGAAAACTGTCAATGAACTCAAGGAACCCGAAAAAAAAAGATATTTTTGATGACCTGTTTTCTTCCGATATTCGACGAAGATGTATCACATAACAGTTTATAATTTCCAGAATCTTCAATAATTAGCACTTTTTAAATAAAAATATCCCAATTAGAGAAAACGCGTTCAATCGGCTAATTTTTATTCCTTTCGGAATTGTCAAAATTAAAATTAACTTTCAGTCATTCACGGTTTCTGCATCATTTTGATCTTTTGTTATTGGAGAGTGTAAAATGCTTCCTTTCGCAAATTTTAGCAAATGAAATTGAATTGAAATTAAGAAATCAGAAGTCAAAAGGCGAACAACCAAATTTAAACATGAGAAAATTTGGAGATTTCATCCTGAAAAATACAGGATGTTCTGACCATAGTCTTAGAAAATTACAAAAACAATTTTTTTTCAAATTAATGTCGATTTTGTTCATCGTGATGTGATACAAGGAGTTGAACGAAAAACTTGAGATTATAGGCATATTAGACAGTCATAGTAAAATGAACTAATTGAAAAACAATTTTTGGCTCTTTATCCATTCCCCCACCTGCAATTTTTTACTAGTAAAGTTACTGTTCACATTGTCCGATCGTTATGAAAATTGACATGCGGACTAATAAGGCTGTGCCAAACATATTTGGTGTTCATAATTAACCTTGTAAAATCACTCGTTACACCATGAAATGGATGGACATGTGAGGTGGGGGAAAAAAGGAAAAAGAGCCCAATTTTTGTAGAAAATTGACCTAAAACGAAACAAAATTCTATTTTTTTTGCAGGTTTTTGAAATTTTCGTTTTTTTTTCGGTTTAAATTAAGCTATTGTAAGCTTTTAAGCCATTAAAATAAGCTATTAAAAGCCCCGCTTTATTCGCTCGAATTAATTTCACGCCGGTTTTTCTTAACACTGGGAACTTTTTTAAAAAAAATTTTGATGTCGTTCGAATTACGACTGTAAGGGCTTTAATGTGATATATCACTCAACCGAGTCCGATGATTAATTGTGGTAGCTGATTTTGCGTGGAAGACAAAAAACACAACCGAATACAAAGTTCCTCTCCATTTTTCAAATGGTGGGAACTAAAAAGTACATTCATTCATGAATTAGACAAAACCTTTGCTACATAAAGTGTCCCCCTTTGGTAAAAATTAACGAAATTCATTTTTTGCCATACACTTTAATTTCCTCACGCGCTGAGAAAACCGCGCTGAGAGGAAGCGGCCACACGCGCTGAAAGTCCCATTAATGCCATTTTTGACACGTTTCTCAAAAATTTTGCTGCCTTATGGCTGCTCGCAAAAATGAACAATACAGTTCCTTCTACCAACACCTTCAAGTCAGAGAAAGAGATTGAACCCAAATCTTTAAAGAGATCGAAACCACCCACCTCCCCATCGAACAAAAAACAAGACTGACCAATGGCAAGCACATCAAAACTGCACTTACATCAAGTGTAGCTCTGAAGTCTTCGTTTTCCAATTTAGCTTTATCGAGTTCCTCCTCCAGAGTAGCCCTGTGTTGCTTCAGTGACTCATTTACTGCCACCAGGTCATCATGGGCCACCTGCAGTTGTCTGTGGAGGAGACACTGACTGTCGAATCTCTCACTCGCTTCTTTCAGAGCCACTTCTAGTTCGGCTGTTTGTCTTGAAGAAATGTTCACAGTCTCTGTGGTCTGAAATACAAAAAAAAACATAGTAATCAGACAGTTGAAAAAATGTCAATGGGCAAGGAGTGAAAAAAAAATTTCAAATTACAAAAAAATGCCTTCCGAATTTCAAAAAGATACAATCATCAAGCATCTTTGAAATTCAAGAATATTTCATGATTAAAGTTTTTGGCAAAATTAACATACATTGAGAACTTTGCATCACTGGCAGTTTTTTAGTCTCCTAGATGATGCAAAAATTAGAAACGATTTTGAAACTAAAAGACAATTATATATTTTTTGTGTCATCTGCATTTAGGTTATTAGAGACCGCTATTTGCTTTCCTTTTACCAATTTTTCAATTTCTATGAAAGCATGGCTTATCATGTACCTGGTCCAGCAGCAAAAAAGATGAAGAACATCAAGCATACCCAACAGACAATTCGAAAAGAGTCAAAAGAGTCAAAAAGAAGTACTTGTTATCTGAACAACAAACGTTCGAATTTCAAAGAAAAAATGTAAGGCCTTAAAACTCTTTGAATTTAAAGAACAATTTCTCATTGACACTTTTTTGATAAAATTAACCCAATAAGAGAAAAATGAATCAATAGGTCAACTTTTTATTCCGCTGGGAAATCTTAAAATTAAAACCCACTTCCGAAAATGGAAGATGATCATGTTTTTCGTGACCGTTACACTTTCGCTGTTCGACAGTGGAATTTGCCTTCTTTTCAACAAAGGAAATGAAATGAACTACAAAAAAAATCGAAAGTAATACCACAAAAAAAAATAAATTTGAAATTCAAGAATCTTTAAGGCTCTAATTTTTTGGGTGAGGGTTCTCATGCTTGAGGGACCGAATGCTTGAAAAATTTCAACCAATCAAAATCGCTAAGCGTTCCTATTGGCGTCACGAAATCGAAGTCATTATTAACAGAAAATGTATCAAATCAGTGGAAAATAATCAAAAATATTACAAATTGCGGGTTAAAACCGCAATACTATTCAGGTAAACATCAAGATTAATGATTTCAAAATCATAAAAAATTTTCAGTCTTGAAAACTCATCTGCTTATTATCTAATCGGTCAATATTAACACTAATGGCCTGGATTTATTTTCTTACTTTGAGATCTTCGCGATTTACTTTGAAATTTTGAATACTCAATTCTGATTGGCTGAAAGTAAGCTAAAATTAATTTCAAGCATTCGGTCTCTCAACCTCAAGCATCAATTAGAGAAAACTAAGTCTATAGGTAGATTTTTAACTTTGCTGTGAAAACTATTATCTATTAACCTATTTCAAAATTAAAGTCAATCATCTTTTTCGCGCCATTCCCGCTTTCCTAATTGGAGAGCTTAATTTGTCTTCTTTTTAGCAAATCAAATTGAATTGCAATTTAAAAAAAAACCAAGCAAGACGGCGAAAAGTCTCTTGTGCGTCATCAAATTTAAAAAATTTTACCAGGAAAAAACACGACTTCAGTAAGTGTATTCAGTACGTTCATTGAAATCTAAACAATGTTCGAAACCATAATGTCAACATTGTTTTTTTAGTCATACTATACTGTATGTATCTTCTATTAATTCACCAATGATCAATATACAAACTCAATATAGTTGAACCAACCTCTTTAGTTAGGGAAGAAATGACCGCTTCCAATTCTTTGATCCGATTGGTCGAGAAACTCTTCAGCTGGTCTATCTCCTCATTTTTCAGACTTATTGAGCTATTGAACTTCTCCTTTTCGGCTGCCAGCTCTTTCTGCTTGTCGACTGCCATGTGTTTTATCTCATCCTGCAGTCTGGCGTTGTCGTTGTAGAGATGCTCTTTTTCTTCTTGCAGAAGAACAATGCTCTCTTGCTTCTTTCTCACCTTCTCTTGTAACTAGAAACACGCCAAATACGATTGTTGGATCCTTGCAAAAGCAATTAAGAACAATAATTACTGCAATAAACCATTATAAAGAGAAATCCAAGAATAACCAATCCTTGGAAAGCTAACGACCTTAGCGAGGTCCTCGCATAACTTTTGTTCAGCATAGGAAGTAACTCGAGAATTGTTTCAGCTGTTAGAAGAAATTTGTATGACAATTCATAAATCTATTTACAAAATAACTAAATTTGAGTTAGTTTATATGTTGTGGGGAAAAATTTGAGAAGAAACCTTTCGCTCATTTCATCAGTTGAACACTGAACGTAGCAACTTCTTTGCCCTTAACTGTACCGAATTTTTAACGCTTTCAGAAGTTTTATTCAGACAGAAGAATAAAATTGACTTACTTTCTCGACTTCGGATTTTAACTTGTCGTTATCGAATTTGTAGGAAGCCTAAAAAGAAAATTGAGGCGCCAAATAAATCAACAGAACATTGCAGAAAAATAAAAGTATTTGATAATTTTGGTAAGCTTCCGTACCTGTGCATCTCGCATCTGGTCGGATATAATTTTTCGCTCTTCGTGTAATCCATCTACGTCTAATGAGGACTCGGCTGAAACATCAAATAAGGAAACAAGATTATTTGTGCAAAAAACACACTTTTTGAAATTGTTTTAAGGCAAACAAGGATAGTCAGTTGCTGTCAAAAGAGCACAAAATTTTTCACTATGACACAGATGGAACTCAAAAAAAATCCCGGTTATTGTTATTAAATACAGGGCTATTAAATCAAAAGAAAAACGCTCGAATGAAGGGTAATTTCTAGCCAATATATCCCTAAATTTGTAGACGAACTGAATTTGAAGACCAGCGTTTAATTCTGTCTATCTATCCTTTATCTTATTTAGTTTGAAAAGCGAAAAAATTCAAACACATTTTTTCTCGACACTGAGACTTATAACAATTTTTTTTGGAATCCGAACCAAAGCTACTAGGGATTTAACATGATACCATACTTGACGTAAAAATAACAAAAATCGGCACTTACAGGCACATTCTGAATTTTCTTCTGTAGTTCCGATGTCACTTTCACCTGAAAACAGCAGCTTGAAAATTTCTGTACACAAACCATGCACGTAGTTATGAACTTTTTCGAAAACAATCGAACTTCGGAACTTTGTAAGAGAAACTAAAGGTAAGTGAATGCAAGAGTCCGATTAGCAGAACAAAAATTTATGACGTTTTCGAAAAAAAATGGTTCCAATTTTTTCCCTTTTACAGTACAATTTATATCACAGACACCACTAAATTGAAAAATAACTTTAATCTTAAGTTTAACACAGCACAGAGGCGAAGCATGACCTTGCAAACTGAAATACAATTGCGAGAAACTTTGGCCGTTCTAATTACAAAACATAAACAAGGACTACCGGGTGAAAGAAAAGGTTTGAAAAAAAAAACAGGTTGTTTTCTTCACAATTCTTCAATTTGAAAAAAAAAGTTTTTTTTTCTTCATATTAGTTCCGTTTCTTTTGCGTGTTATCTACACAAACGCGTAGATAGTTGAAAAAATAGGCATAGTCGACAACTTTTGTCTTCAAAAAATGAAAAATGTTTCCATTTTCTGCAGTAAAAATTTTTAGACAACGAGTTGCTAAATAAAGCTTCCAAAATAGTTTTCAATCGGTAAAACGAAGTTTTCTCAGCCAAAATAACACCTTTTCAAGCAACGAAAGTTACTAGATTCTTGAATCGTTCGAAATTACTAAATTAAACAAACTCGAAAACTTCAAACCAATATTTTCTGGATACTGGTAACAATTTTTCAAATATGGACCGAATCAGGACTAAAAGGGCTTTAATATGATATATCACTCGACCCATTTCGATTATTTGTGGTACCTGGTTTTGTGGGGGGGGGGGGGGGGGAGAGAAAACACACTCGAATACCCGGCACATTTACAATGGTCCGAACATCAAATAAAAATATTAGAAAAATGGGATTGGTTTCTAAGACTGATAATTTGGGCACCTACGCTACGCCTTATTAGAAAACTCGCGCAAACTCGCGAATGTGAAATTGCTGCATTAAGACACCTGCATGAAAATCCTCAGAATTTATTGTAGCTTAGCGCTGAAATATATGCTTACGGAACAACCTCAAGTACAAAAACCCGTTCAAAACACTAGCGACAAAACTACAAAAAGCAGCTCTAAAAAATTAAATAAGAAAAAGTAATAATACGCCTTGGAAATTTAAAATTTTGTTGGGCGGGTTCGATCCAACGACCACGAGATTTAGAGTCCCATATCTTCGCAAATGCGTCACTGGCACTTTGAATTTAATTACACTAGCCACCAATAAAGCAGCTCTATAGCCTTATAAATTGCCAATGCAATGCACCAAAAGTGGCACCAAATAGACAAAATTTCGCATGAAACAAATTGGAAAGCATTAAGACAAACCAGGTAAAAATTATGCATTTCAAAAACTTAGGCGATATATTAAAATGAAACATTTCTGAAATCGAGTTTTTATGATTGTACTGTTGTTTGAAACAAATCGCTTTTTTCGGTTCATTTGATGAATTAAAACTGCACCAACCGTGTTTAACTTATTATTAATTAAATGTCAAAGCACATGCTATCAAGCTGTCAATGTAGTCAGCTTCGAAAGTTCCACCAGAATTGCAACTCAGATTGGAAGAAAGAGGTCGTACTATTAAACTACGCTCGCTCGAGAAAAAAAACTAGCAAAAAATAAATAAGGAACTTGCAAAACTTAAAAATCAAATTTCGCACGTTTAAGGATTAAATTAAAAACTATCCGTTACAATAAATATGGATTTCAGCATAAGAAAAAGCAGCTAAGTGGAAACTAAATCAACAAACAGCAGACAAAAGGTTGACACATTTTTTATTGAAAGGGTTTATTTTCCGTTAAAAAAACAGGTCATGTTGAGATTCGAATTTTAATTTAAAATCTTCAATGCCCTAAGACCAATTGTGCCGGAGGAGCTAAGAAATTTGAATTTATTAATAATAAATCTGTAAGTAAAATCATGGAAAAAAACGGTAAGCACACCATCCTTAAATCGCATTCGAATAAGCGATATAGTTCACTTGCAAACTAAGCCGATAAAAATTAAACCAAGAGCGACGAAGCCAAGAAATCTGAAAATAAACTAGAAAAAATTTCTTTCAAATTTTTTAACCGCACTTATAGTTGGAAAACACTATTAAGAGATACCCGATGAAGTTAATTATAAGACTGTTGAACTATGGTAATCGGAAGTACGTAAAAAAACCCTTTGAAAGTAAGACCATATAAAAGGTTGTATATGATACCGCGCTCATTGAGAGTACTTTTGAGAGTATTTTTGTTCCACTTCACTTATAGTCGAGAGAAAGGATCCTTTTATCTACAATTAAATGTTCACAGGATTCAGGACAACAGAACTCATAAATTCAGTTACAAAGTTTGAAAACTAATGTAAAAAATGAGGGATATGAAAACATGCCGAGCTCTCTGGAAAACATCTTCAACTTACAGAAACAAAATTAGTTATGAAAATCGTAGACATATCGTTTTTGTTGATAAAATAATTGTATCACTTTCACTTTCGACCAGTTTTTTGTGATACCGAAAAAAAAAGATTTTTAATTTAGAAACTAGAATGAACAGCAATTGCAACTACAATGAAAGTTGCTTGCAGCAAAAAAAAATCAGTAAAGTGGTGACTAAGCCGACAATCTTTCAGCAGACAATCGAACAAACATAAAAACCAACAATTCATTTTTCTCGGAATTTTTTTTCCCAATTTCCTTGATACTAAAAAAAACAAGGTCAGGTGAGACTCGAACCCCAGAACCTTAGGGTACAAAGCGTAACAAGGCTCGAAATTAGTTTTGGAACGTAAATTCAACCGTTTGATTTTGTCTGTATAGGGAGTTCGAATACTTGACACAGATGCGAAGCTTCGCTTCGCAAACACATGCTAGAACACAAGGAGCTCTATGAAAGGCAATAAGAAAAAGTACAAATAAGCCTCGAATTAGTAAAAAAAAATTGACGTCTCGGATGCGACCTGCGATCTATAGATTATGAATCTCACGCACTAGGCACTCAGCAACTTAAGCAACGCTTAATAAATTACACACACAGGCCTCATATAAAGCAGAGAAAAGACCCTAAAAAATTTCTAATGCTACATATAGTGATTATAGCAAAAGTGCCACCAAATAAGTGAACACCTTTAATGAACAGTTTTTTAGTTGCCGCTAAGGTTAGAAAGAAAAAAGTTTCGAACTAATACTCTACGCTTGCAAGTGTAAAACGGAACTAACCATTTAGCTGTAATCGTTTGTGCAATGAGGTATTTTCCGACGATGACTGCAGCTCATTAATTTGCCTCTGAAGTGCATTGTTGTCGCTTTGGAGCTGAAATGGCGTTTAAAAATCAAACTTGACAAGGCAGCTTTTGGATAATTATAAAGCGTCGGTGAAGCGGCTAGTGGTTCTTCGTCTTAATCAAAACAATGGTGGCTCTCGCGTTGCAGCAAGATTTAAAAACTTTTAGACCCAATAAAATATCAAAAATGCATAAATTTTATTTTATTAAGAACAGACTTGAGGTTTTCTGTTTTGATCTGATCAGCTTGCTCGTATGTGCTCCATTATATCTCGTGAGAAAACGACCTCGATTGTGTTCCTAAAAATATTTATATTTAAGACTTTATCTTTGGCTCATCGCCGTCATTTTTGAATGGCAGCATCTTTCTTTCTGAAAAAAAATTCTTTCTTATATGCATTCATGGGCGCATTTAGACTCACAAATTCGGGTTTATCAAGATATATGAAAAATCGCAATTTTTCATTTCTTGCGGTTCAAAAAAAAATATGTCAATTACTTAGAGTTCAGACCCTGCATCATAACCGTATGTAAGTGAAATAATTTTAATGAGAAACACTCTGGGAAAGTAAAACACTGGGAAATTGCTTTTCGGTGAGTCGTTCTAACTACCTTTTCTACTTCGGCGAGAAGCGTATTGTTCTGAAGTTTGAACTCTTCTTCTTGCTGTTGAAGTTTCTGCTGCAATTTGTCTCTCTCCTGGCTCAGTTGTTCCGTGTCTTGATTACGACCCACTTTACTTATAGTTGAGAGCAAGGATCCTTGTACCTACAATTTAAAAACTAGCCAATAAGGAAAGAAAAATCGACATGGTTCTTAAAAAACTTCAAGTTTCGAACTTTAAAAATATTTGTATGTCTTAAAGCTCTTTGAATTTCAAGAACAATTTATGATTTTGGTGCTTTTATGATAAAATTAACACAACTTGAGAAAACTTAATTTGCTCGGAAATCTGAAAATCAAATTCCACTTTCGAAACTAGAAGTCAACCACTCTTTTGGTGACTTTTACACTTTTGTCATAAATTTTCAAAAATTTTACGACCCAAATGAAAGCATAATACAATTTTTTACCCTCGAATCTACGCAATTTAATCTGACCAAGCAGAAATAACATAACACAAAATCGTTTAATCGGAAAAAAAAACGAAAAAAAAATCACAAATTACAGAACTTTCAATTATAGTAAAAACTGTTGGAATCAATAAATACATCCAGCAGAAAGTTGGATAAAAGTCAATGAACGCAATTATTTTACAAGAAAAGTTATTAATGGGACTTTTTCGGACAACATTAACCCAATTAAAAAAAATTGATCATTAGGTAAATTTTTATTTCGTAGGAAAACCTGATTATTAAATTCCAGTTTCGAAATTAAAAGTCGATCACGTTTTTCGTGACTTTTACACTTTCGCTGTTCGATAGTGGAGTTTGCCTTCCTTTTAACAAAGGAAATAAACTGAACGTAAAAAGAAATCAAACTCAAACCGCGAAAAGGTAAGTTTGAGCCGGAACAATTTTTAAGACTTTGCCTGAAAAAAAATCACCATCACCTTTATAAGATATTGAACTATGTTCATCGACTCCTAAGATATACAAATTGTAATCTCCAACTACGAAAGCGCAAATAGCGCAAAAAAATGTGATCAATTTCCTGTTTCGAAATTGGATTTTTTCAAGAGCCGATGAACATAGTTCAAAATCTTAAACAGGCAATTGATCGCATTTTTTCGCGCTATTTCCGCTTTCGTAGTTGGAGAGTACAATTTGTATATCGTATAGCATATGATTTTGAACTCAAAAGTGCATAATATACCTACAGGCATCATAAATTCATTTATATGTATAAGACACTTCCTAAAAATCATCAAAACTTACATATTTTCCACTTACAACCAAAAATTAATAAGGAATTCGTAGAAATAGTTTAAACAATTTGAGAAAAAAATTGTATTTTATGCCAAAACAGCATTTGAAAAAAAAATAGCTAACCTGCAGAACAATTGAACATTCGAGATACCAAAGCATTGCAAGCTAGCGAACAGCTAAAAAACCGCAGAAACAAAATAAAAAGAAACATTTCCACAGCTACAAAAAATCCAAGTTTAAACAAATGAGTTTTCGTTTCGCAGAAAACACGTCTAGAAAAACAACCACGACATTGAATACGTAATCAGTAACATTTCTCGAACATCATCGGGTGATGCAACATTTGTTCGAAACTAGCCTTCGAATGTTCGCCAAGAACATTCGTCGAACGTTCAAACAATTGCTATTTCAATGGGCTTCTCAGTATTCTTGAGAAAAAATTGAAGATCAATATTTAAATTTCCATTTTCATGCTGAATATTTTGCATGTTCACATGATCTCCAGCAAGTGTTGCTCTTTTTTAGTAAAAACGTTTCTAGCAATGCTTAAAATACGCTCAGACATGTTACTTGAGATTGGTATACAGAAAATTTTCAGATAACTAACAACTTCGCCGAAGTAATAAGTTTTGGACACTTGTAAGGACACTTACTAGTTGAATGTCAAAGCACATGTTATCAAAAAGCTGTAAAGGTGCCTTACCAATATTTGCGAATTAGGTTGGAAAAAAAGGCTTGTACTAATACATTCGCTTCGCAAGTGTAAAAACAAAGCTGAATCTAAAAAAAACAAAGTCAGCGTTTCACAAAAAAGTGAATAGAGAAAAAATGCGAACAGTTATCCGAAAAATAATTTTTTCACGAGAGTTTAATTCAAAAATTTTAGTCAGAAAAATGCCATATACTCTAATTTGCGGAAAAAAAAACACTTTTTCCTGATTTCGATATATTTCTTTAACTTGTGATGAAAGACAACTAATAAGAAGAGTTTCTTCAATTATCTGCTCGCCGAGTTACAAATTTTGATTACAATGTGTTTCGATGCCATATGTTGACGGTAATTAGATTTGAATTGTACTGGAGAGGTTTGGGTTCGCTGAAAGAGTTTTATAATCATCTGCATAGTCGTAGCACGAATTTCTAAGTGAGGATGGTAGGTCGTGGATGGGGAGGAAGAAGCCTTTAGTAGTGAGCATTGGTGCCAATTGCTGTTGATGTGAAGTTTTCTTGAAACTTCAGGACCTACTTTTATTTGCTATTTTCTGTTCTTTAGTAGTTTGTTAGGACATCATGTTATCTTTAAGTAGTAACAGAGAGTATTATCTGATAAGTCAAATCTTTGAAGTGTACCTAGGCTCAGGTAACGAAGTATTTTTTTTCAACTGCTTTCTTGAAGTCTAAGTAACTAGCCTTTAATAAATCTATTTTCGGATTATCGCAGATTGAATACATTCATAGTGACAATCATGGATTTGGTAAAAGAAGCGAAAAGATTTCGTAAACTATCAATCTTTCCGACAGTTTGTCGCCACTATTGATTGTAGTAACCATCTAACTTATTTTCCAGATAGCTCTTGTTTTTAAGTTGATTGCAAGTTTGCCATTTCTTGATGGAGAAATTGTTCGGGACATTTGGACAGGTTTTTTAAAACTGTTTATTTTTGAGAGGTTTGTTGAAGTCGTTTACTGACCACTCCTAATTGACCACTCGTTTAGTTTTGTGCTTGCTAAAATTAAGAGTCTATCGCATATACTGGCAGAAAACGGTATTAAAAATATTGGCGGTCAACTGAGTTTGGGTTAAGCAACAGATAAAAAACCGCAGAATCGAAATAAAAATAAACATTTCCATAGCTACAAAAAATCCAAGTTTAATCAAATGAGTTATCGTTTCGCAGAAAACACGTCCAGAAAAACAACCACGACGTTGAATACGTAATCAGGAACATTTCTCGAACATCATCGGTAGGTGCAACATTTGTTCGAAACTAGCCTTCGAATGTTCGCCAAGAACATTCGTCGAAAGTTCAAACATTTGGTATTTCAGTGGGGTTCTCAGTATTCTTGAGAGAAAAAATTGAAGATCAATATTTAAATGAAAATTTCCATTTTCAAGCAGAATATTTTGCATGTTCACATGATCTTAAGCGAGTGTTGCTCTTTTTTATAAAAAACGTTCCAGCAGTGCTTAAAATACGCTCAGACATGTTACTTGAGATTGGTATACAGAAAATTTACAGAGAACTAACAACTTCGCTGAAGTAGTAAGTTTTGGACACTTGTAAAGACACTTACTAGTCGAATGTCAAAGCACATGTTATCAAAAAGCTGTAAAGGTGCCTTACCAATATTTGCGACTTAGGTTGGAAAAAAAGGTTTGTACTAATACAATCGCTTCGCAAGTGTAAAAACAAAGCTGAATCTAAGAAAACAAAGTCAGCGTTTCACAAAAAAAAATGAATAGAGAAAAGTTGCAAACACTTATCCGAAAAACAATTTTTTCACGAGAGTTTAATTCAAAAATTTTCTTAGCCAGAAAAATGCCATATGCTCTAATTTGCGGAAAAAAAAACACTTCTTGCTGATTTCGATATATTTCGATATATTGTGATGAAAGACAACCAATCAGAAGAGTTTCTTCAATTATCGGCTCGCCGAGTTACAAATTTTGAGTACAATGTGTTTCGATGCCATATGTTGAGGGTAATTAGATTTGAATTGTACTGGACGAGGATTGGGTTCGTTATAAGGGTTTCATAATCATCTGCATAGCCGTAGCACAAATTTCTAAGTGAGGATGGTAGGTCGTGGAGGGGAGGAAGAAGCCTCTAGTAGTGAGCATTGGTGACAATTGCTGTTGATGTGAAGTTATCTCGAAACTTCCGGCCCTACTTTTACTTCTTATTTTCTGTTCGTTAAGTAGTAACAGAGAGCATTATCTGATAAGTCAAATCTTTGAAGTGTACCTAGGGTCAAGTAATGAAGTATTTTTTCAAATGCTTTCTTGAAGTCCAAGTAATTTGCCTTTAATAAACTTATTTTCGGATTATCGCAGACGTGATACATTTTGTCTAGGAACTTGAGCATAAAAAGCGTTGTAGATCGATTAGAACAAACTCAAACTGACAATCATGGATTTGGTAGTAGCGAACAGATTTCGTAAATTATCAATCTTTCCGACAGTTTCTCGCCACTTTTGATTGTAGTAACAATCTAACATATTTCAATTTGACAAAAACAAGTCGAATTAGCACTGAGACAAAAATTACCAAGAGGTTATTGGGCAGTCAATACTTCGGTAGTCGCCCCTTCAGCCAAAAAAAGAAAACAAAAAAAATTCGGACTATATGAAAATTGAAGATTTCAAACAAAGCATGTTCTGCGAAGCACAAAATTGCCAACAAGGACAGCCGGTTACTGTGCAAGTAGCACATAATGTTCCGACCAGTCTAGAAAAATACAAGAAAAAAGGTACAAGAACGAAACACTAGAACTTTGGCAAATTCGAGAGTTATAATAAAATAATCAAATTGAAAAACAGTTTTTGAAGAAAAATGACTAAATAAAAGAAAAACAAATGAAATTTTGAAAAACTTCACATTCTCTTTTTTGATTTTTGAAAGGATTTTTCGGAAGTTTTTGATTCCCAAAGTGACGCAAAAAACATCCTAAATTAACTTTACTTGAGTAAACTTAGTTTTTTTTTAATTAAAAATTCTTAACTTAGGCATAATTCAGCTTATAGGCCTGCTCGCTTGCTTTATTCGCTCAAATTAAGACAAAAAATGTAAAATTTTCCACGGGATTTTCGCAAATTTTTATTGTGGTTCGAATCACGACTGAAAGGGCTTTAAAATGATATTACTAGACACATTCCAAGGATTATTTGTGGTACCTGAT